CAGCCTCTTCTCCGTGGTGCCCAGCGACAGGACAAGAGGCAATGGGCAGAAACTGAACCACAGGAAGTTCCATCTGAACCTGAGAAAAAACTTCTTCACTGTGAGGGTGACAGAGCATTGGAACAGGTTGCCCAGAGAGGTGGTGGAGTCTCCTTCCCTGGAGATATTCAAAAGCCGTCTGGATGTGATCCTGGGCAATATGCTCTAGAGGACCCTGCTTGAACAAGGAGGTTGGACTAGATGATCTCCAGAGGTCCCTTCCAACCTAAACGATTCTGTGATTCTGTGAAATCCCAGTAGGGCTTTTATCATTGTCTTCCAACAAGAACTGAATCGGTGTTCAGAATTTTAAACCGTACTAAGGAAGAACACGATAAAACCCTCATCTTCAAAAACTTTAAGCAGTGGTAGAGAACGTGTATGTCCTTTTATAGTTGATACTGTGTAAATTATATTCTTGCAGTCTGTTTCAAAAAAAGCTTCTTTATTTCAAATACTATGAGGTTTAGATATGAAATTATCATTTGGAACTACTTGTAATTACAGCTATTGGTATACCTTGAAGTAATAGAAAACTATTCACAAAAGCCGCTTCAGCGTGTGTAATGCTTAGCACATAGTAGAGCTTATTGGTGTAGCAGATATAATGTTCAGCAACTATAGGGTTTTTTTTTCTATAGAAATTTTGTACTAAAGCTAAGAGTTAATTTTTCTCAGGAATTACCACAGATGAACTGTTTCACTAAAAGAAAAAAGATTTGAGTTCACAACATTCTTTTCCAGTAGTTAATTAAGATTTAGGGTGGTAGGAAACTGAAATTTGTTCTTCATGTCTGTGTGTTTAAATTCAGCTTTGTTTTGTAGTAATACAGTTCTATTTTTCAACTGAGGTTTTATGAAAAGGTTTTCAGGTTTAGTCTGTTAATGTGCAAATAATTTTGAGTATGTACAACACTGGGAACACTAAAATCAGGAAATTGTAACAGAACATTCCTGTAAGAATATTGCTTAGGATTTTCTTTGCTATGCAATAATAATATGAAATATTAAAAAAAAAAATCATGTTTTACAATTATTTTTGAGCAGGAGGCACAATATCTCAAATAACAACATTTTATTGAAGCTTTTTGATAGGTGATGGTATAGAGATATGGATGACTTAATATTCATTGGGAGAGGGAACCATGGGCCATTTTTGCATTGGTGCTGTAATACTTACAATTCTTAAACTAAATAAAAAGCTAAATTTTTGAATATTAGTTGTTTATTACTGTTATTCACCCCCAGTGGTCTTGTTTCCTTGTTTGCACGTGGATTTATGGGCTTGGGGTAGAAGAATGGGTTAGGTGTATTTGATTTTCTTCTTCTCCCCTTTTCCTTTTCATCATGTGTTATTGGCACAGCAACTTCTCAGATCTTCTGAACAGCAAGTTGAGGAAAGCTGTTCTAAATAGTTGTTTCATACAGGTTTCATTTAATTTACCAATTGCAACTAATAATTATCAGCTAGGTCATAAAATTTTTTCATGAAAGTACATCTTACTCAGATGCTAAAATTAGTGGCTGAGATAATTTAATTGTCAAAGCACTTAATAACATGTATTGGTATGTTTGTGTGTGTGTTGATATATCTATATGCAATATTTTATGTGATACGATTTTTCTTGCAGATGCACGTAATTGCTAACAGACTTATTTAAAGCCCCTTATCTCTGTTCCTTCTTTTTTTCCTTTAGGTGAAAGACCTTTTGAATGCAGTGAATGTGGAAAAGCCTTCAACCAGAAGGGGGCACTGCAAACCCATATGATCAAGCACACTGGTGAAAAACCCCACGCTTGTGCCTTTTGTCCTGCAGCCTTTTCTCAGAAAGGCAATCTTCAGTCACACATACAGAGAGTTCATTCAGAGGTAAATACGATTATTCATAAAGTGATTGGTGCTAATATACTGCTTATTGGTATTTAACCTTTCCTTCTCAATATTTAAATTGTCCTATTTGCTATTCGTATGCTCACTGGAGCATTCTGCAGCCAATATAGATTCCCTGCTGTAGTATAGATTCTAGTTTGCTCATTTTACCTGCGAATTCAGCTTTCCTAAAATAGTTTAATCTGAATAAATGGCTACTTAGGATAAGTAGGAAAAAGCTTCATTTACCGTTGTCTTTTCAGTACATTGATAGGTTAATAATCCATTAGTGTTTTTAGGTATATAAAAGTGCACTTATATCAGCCTTGGGAGAATGAGAACTAGAATCAGATGAAGGTTAAAACAAGTAGCTTTCTCCAAAAGCTGTAAAGAAGCAAATGGTGAGAGATTTCAAACCCAAATAGCAGCCCACTAACTTGCATTGAACGTTCTTGCAACAATTTGATTTTGAAAAGCTGTTCAGAAGCTTTTCAGTTACAGGTGGAGAAAATTATGATAGAAGAATAAAAGCAAAAAACAGTGGTATCTTAGACCTCTTCATCCTGATGTATTTTTCTCTTTGTGACAAATGATTTTTAAGATAGGAAAGGTACTGCTGTAATAAAGTAATGCAATCTCCTGAGCAGCACTGGCTATGGAACTTTGTTCAGTAATTCCTCACTGCCTTCAGTGATTTGTGGTTGAGCATACCCCTAGAAAGAAACCTAATTTTGATTTGAAAGGAAGCAGGTGGATAGAGGCAACTCCCTCCACCCCTCTGCATGCAGAATGTCATCTCTCTGATCTCACTCCTTCCCTTAACTCTGTCTAAGATGCACTTATAAATTTCCATTGTTGTGTTACAAGGATGGATCTTATTTATTTATTTGTTTGTTTACTAAGGATCCCTTAGGGTATTAGAGTTTCTGCTTTTTATATTACAGTCCTTTATAGAATACGTCTTAGTGTTTTATGTTTCACTTAAACATAGGATTTAATATAATTACATTTCATATGATTTAGTGTAAACTAGTTTTTCTCGTTATCCACAGCTTTCTCTATATGATAGCTTTTGCGACATGAAAAAATACAGTAGAAATAATTTCCTGATTTACATTGGTGATTTTTTTCAATATTATAGGTGCATTTGTGATCCAACCAAAAATATTGTATGCTTTTTTTTCTCCACTATTTCTTAAGTGCTATCTCTAGATTGCATCATATTGTGTTTCTTGGTCCTGAACCTGTATTTTAGTTACTGCTTTGGCTCTTTTATTAATTTTTCTTTCTTGCTTTTGCTGAGTTTCCTTCAAGACCACATGCAAGACTCTGTTAATTTTTCATTTTATCCTGAAACAGTCACAAAACCTTTCAGCAACTGATAAATGAAACGGGTTGAATCTCACTTAATCTATCACTGTGTAGTGTTATCTGTATTTTAGGAGCTGATGAGTTGCTGAAATGTCTTCCTACGAGTTCAAGCTTGTTGTCAGGAAATACAGAATTCCATATTATATTGGCAGCAGTGCAATCGGTGCTCTTTTGAAGACTTCAAGCACTGAAATTCTGTGATTGTTTCCTCTTCTCCCACCGCACCTTTCTTCTAATATCCCATTGGATTTTTTTTTTTCTTTATAAAGTAACTTCACAATTCTGTCCTTATGCTTGATAAACCTTTAGGGTCTTTTGCTTCAAAACTACTGAACTCCTCCTTCCTTGTCTTTTTACCTCTTTGTCCATGGAATGTGTACTAATCTCGTCATGAAAAACATCTGCTGTGCAAACAGCTTAAGTATAAATCACTTTATTGCATGTGTTCCCGAACTGAGTCTGTGAGGCCATAAGAAGTGACCTGTAGGTGATACATAGCTTACAGTAAGTTTTGTGTACAGTAACCCCAGGAACCAGCCCTGTTACCCTACCCCATGCATGCTTTACAGGTTGCACTACCAAGACTCGCTATGCTAGAGTTGCCCCCTACACAGGGAAAGCGCTGCACTGGGTCTTATAGCTATGTGATAATCTGAGAAGGAGGGGGAAGGGAAGATGGTTTGGAAACTAGAAATTTAGTTGCCTTGTTTTATGTTAATTTCCTCATGTGTCCCCTCAACCCCTTGCCCTGGAAGTCCCAAACAAGCTGCTGCTGCTCCCTCTTTGATACTGTCTGTGTTTCCTCAGTTCAAACTGTGTATCCTTAAACTTCCCTGACCTTCATCTGTGGGTTTTATTATTTTCTTTAAATTTTTCCAGGCAGTCTCCTATGGTCTTTGACCCAGTCCATCTCACCTTTGTTTTACTTTGTGACCTAAAAACAGCATTTTATTTTTTTCTTGCAAACTTACAAAAGACTTTTACAAAAGTAAGCAGAAAAAACAGAATTTGAAGTTAATTTTTTGCCTCTTTTTCCTTTGTATCTGCTGATTTTCATTTGTGTTACATATGTATGTTACTATATCTTCAGGCAAGTCTTAATTGGTAAAGTTGCTTTTCGGTTTTGTTTCTAAATGTGTGATTCTAGGACGTTGTAAGGAGGGAAAAGTCTGAGGCCTCCTTTGCCAAATGACGTTTATTTTGCTTTGTGGCGCTTCCTAAAATTGAGAGGCAGTAATAGGAGATGACAGTTTGCTTGATTTCAGGGAGGTATCAGGCCGGTCCTGTCAGACCTGGACATCAGCAGCTTGGGGAAATTAAACATTTTAACTTTCTTTTGTAGTTCTATAACGTATTTATTATGTTGATAAGAAAGATAGCATTAGGTATATTCAGGGAAAATAAACTTATTTTGTCGTCTTGAAGGTCAAGAATGGCCCTACGTATAACTGTACAGAATGTAGCTGTGTCTTTAAAAGCTTGGGCAGCTTAAATACGCATATCAGCAAGATGCATATGGGTGGTCCACAGAATTCTGCAAGCTCTTCAACTGACATATCTCATGGTACAGCGGTAAGCCTTACTTGCTATATTATATAAATGACTTTAAGGATTTAATTATTTTGTATTTTAATTCCTATAATTCTTCAGATAGGTTAGAAATAAAAAAGCTGTTGCTCTGTTACGAATGTCTTTTTGAAGTTTTGTGTCATTTTTTGAATCAATTTACATAGTGTAAACTGAGTATCAGTTTTGCAACAGTGTGTGTGAAAAAAGGATTTACAGTTTGAGGGTTTAGATGAAAATTTAACAATTTTATTCTACAATTAAGTGAAATAAAACTTTGCTACTTGCAGGTGGTGGTGATGGGGGGGAAGATTTCCTATCTAGATAATATGAAAATAATTGGGAAGCTTTACCAAACAGTGGGCTCCAGACTATTCAAACTATATATTGGTTTTAACTCATTTGCAGAGGTTAATTATTGATATAATGTTAGTCCGTATGAACACAGACTGGATACTTGTTCTCAGTATTTTTGATAACTTGTTTTAAATGCTGTCTTAGCTTTATTAGAATCACCAAATTTCTTAATTCACCAAGCTACAAGAAAAAGTTAAAAAGGCAGAAAATAATTTGGCTCTCATAAGCTTATTTCATTTTTTTGAGCCAGTACATGTTTAATATTATTTAATATGCTCTTTGAAGAGACCTTCTGCCTTCTCTGTTTTTCCACCCCATTCCTCATCATCTCCAACATTTATGCTTTTAAGTTGAACATATGACATGTAATTTCAGTCTTTGAAGAGGAGGGTTAAAGTTGTGAAAAATTCTGAAAACTCACATTTCAAGAGTTCACCATAAACTTGGTGAAATATTTTAAGTTTCACCTACATTAGGCAGCTGTATCTTGCTGAAACTTCTAGTTAGTGTTGTTTGGAGAATCGTCTTTTTCTAAACTTTTTTTCATATGGTAGATGCTATAGGTCTTAGGTAAATTGAAAAAAAAATCCTCTGCTTACAAGCACATATAATTTCTGTATATTTTTTGTAAGAGATTCTCAAGTCTAATCTTAAAAGCTGAATGGAAGAGAAAGCCATCGTACTACGTTAAGTAGCCAGCTGTGGTTTTCCTTTTTTTTTTTTTTTTTCCTTTTGCATCATAGTAACTCAATTGCATATCGTTTTCACAGGAGTAGATTGCCGTTATCCTTGCCTCATGCGTATTTCTCAGCTTGCTTGAAGGAGTGGAAACATAAAATACCTCCTTACAGTAGTATAAGCAAAATGGGGACAATTTCTTTTCAATATTACAGTTTCTGTATTTAATTTTGTGCCTGAAACTGCACAGATTAAATTATTGATTAATTTTATTGCTGTAAAGAGATAGTACATTTTTAGATTAGCGCTAGTATTTTTAGGTTAGCACCAGCTTCTTCATTCTGGTCACATCTTGCATGACTTCTTTAACATCAATCTCCAGTATAATATTTCTACCTTACTGAAGTTTCTGATTAGTCACTGTCCTCCCTTAGCATGGATGAACAATGATTTTTGTCTCTATTATGTGTTCCAAAATTTGAAGTCTCTTGAAGTGCTGTGCTACCGAAGAATGCATTTTCTTCTGGTACATGGATGCGTCTTGTAAAATATGTTTACTGTTAAGGCTGTTACTTGTCTAGTCTCGTCAGTGCTTGTAGCTTAGGTATCAGTTTCTGTGATTTGCATTTATCTAACATATATAAACAATGAAACAACACTGGTGATCCTGTGTAAATTTGTATCTGTCCCATAAAATCCTTTTTTCTATTCCTAGCTTCCATACCATAGCAAAATGAACAGTTCCACTTTTATGCGTAGTATTAACTCCTTTTCTTTCTGTACAATGGCTAAAAATCCTTTTTTTATATATCTATATAGGACTCTGTCACTCAGCCTCTAACAACATCTCCTGCTAATCTTTTGCAACCTGTTGATAGCAAATGGAAGAACGTAAGTATAGAATTTTCTCTTTATTTTTATTTCAAGACTAAAAGGGGGAGAAACTTTTCATTATTTTGTAAATTTTCTTTATTCATGCGGTAAGAGAAGATATGCTACTGTCATCTATGATAAGTTGATCAGCTGATATGTGAGGGCAAACTTGGTGAATGAAACATCTTGTATGGATGATTCATTTTACGTTCATGACTTTTGCACGTGATTCCCTTCACTGTATCTTCAAAATGGAGACAAACATTCGGCTGTATGCAAAGACCACAGGAGAGTAAGGACTCTCGTAAGTGCTAGACTGCTGTGCGCATCTGACCTGACTTCACAGGAAAGCTGTGATTTGGATGGAGAGGGAAGGTGCTTGATTTGTGCTAGTTCTGCTAGTTGGACTTCAGATAACAGTGGAGCCCTGCGGGTCAGAAGGAACCCACAGGAGGGGAGGAGGACACAGGGATTAGCTTTCCAGAACCCCCTAGCTAGCGCTCTTGGAGACACAGAGATCTTGAGGTATTGTTGCGGGGAGAGTGGTAGAATGTTTTGTTGCAGCAGTTGTTTATTACGTGTGGGTTGTGTTACTGTATCCTAGTGGCAGACTAACATGACTTACGTTCCCCCTTCCCTTCCTTCAGCCACTTTTTCTCTGGTCACATACTAGAGTTCATGGTACCAAGGACTTGGACATGTGCCAGTGCTTCTTTAAAGTCACCATAACCAATCTATCCGCTTCATTTTTCTCTTTTACTGTGAAATCAGTGTTTCTGGGCCAACTGACTCAGTTCACATCTGTTTTGTTGAGTTTTAAGTGATTACTTATATATGTGGTATCAAATGGTTTTACAAAATGTTCCTTATAAAGCTTAAAAAATATTAAGAACAGCTGTTCTTCAAAAGCAGTTTAATTTTAAGACTCTTTCATTTTTTAACCAAATGACATTGTTTTCCTTGAAGGGAACTTCGGAGTGGTATCAAAAGTGATGCTGGGGGGAAAGAGGAGCATAGGTCTGCAAAGAAGAAAATCACCAATTTAAAATGCCTTTTATTATCATTAAAATTGTAATTATTTGGGAATGTATTGTATTTAATCCAATAGGTTTGCAATCTGCATATAATCATGTCAGATTGATGTTCCAGAAGGGGAAAAAAGCTTGTCCAGACTACGAATGTTGTGGTCTGTCAGTGCATATTGATCTCTTTAAAACAATTTTTTTTAAGAACAATGTGATATTGAAGTGCAGCTCTTGTACTGGTCCCCTGTGTTCTTCCCTTTCTCTCCCCTCCACCCCAATTAATTGATTTTTGTTTTGCGTAGGCCTTATGAATAAGGTGAATTATATTCAAAAGTTTTCGAACAAAGCAAGTTCCAAAGTGGAACTGATGACCTACTTTTTTTCTCAGATTATGAATGAAGAGGAAATTGTTGTCCTTTTCCACTGAATCTAAATATTGCAATTAGGCTCCTCCATCAGGGTTTCATATTGTGTGGTTCCCTTTCCTTGATGCAGAGTGCCGGGTTCTCTCTAAGTGATAGGTGCCAGTTAGTAGCAATTGAACCAATTTCCCACTTCCTCCTCCCAGAATTGCCTATTACTCTTGCCTAGGAGGTGGGAAAATTGTGCCCGATTCCTTCCTTAGCCTTAGGGTTTTCAAACCTGTGTCTTCTCCAGAGAATGCCTTAGTTCTTGGGCCACCAAGCAGTTTAAGAGTGAACCTGTGCTGCAGAATCAACTTCAACTGATGCGTGGTGGAGCTAGGAAACCGAACAAGAAGCCTGACTTTTTAGTCTAATAGTTAGAGAAGAACCTGAATTCTCATTCCACTTGCCTCAGGGTGCCTTCTGTTTTTAAACTAGTAACTAGCTAATGTAAAGCATATGGCAGTATTGTGGAGAAGGGTCGTATGGCACCACCCCAAAACTAATATTGAAAAACCTCAATACTGAGATGAATCAGCAGCAATTCTTCCTATGTTTTCAAATACTCCTCCTTTAATATACTATCTGCTTGTTTTCTGTGCCTTCGATTGCACAGCTTGCTTTTTTGTGTGCAGTTGCTGTACATTGGTTGACATAAGGTAATGCTCTGAGTTTTCTATGGATCTGTTCCATGTATTATTCATGACCTTTAGCAAAAGGTATAGGTATTTTTACTCTTACTCAGCATTAGTTAGTAAGTAGAGCTAGTTACATTTGTAACTAAATGTAATGACCCTTATCGATTCTTCCTTTCTCTTCTTGCAATAGAGGTGATTAAAAGAAAGCGTATGTTTTGTATTTTCAAATGGGATGACCTACTACTAGGATACACCTTCAGTGGTTTTAAAGCTTTCTAAGAGAACTTCTAATGTAGTTGTGCAGGGAATCACCGTTGTTGTTATTTTTCTGGTGAGGTCCCTTAGAAATTAATTCCTGACCCTACGCTACTTAATATTTTATCAGTGACCTGGGAGAAAATATAAAATCATCACTGATCAAGATGATACAAAGATTGAGGTAATTTATGAAGAGGACAAGTCACTGATACAGTGTGATCTGGATTTCTTGGTGAGCTGGGCGCAAACAAGCGATGTATGTTTTGATATGGCCAAGAACAAAATTATACGTCAAAGAACAGAAGTAGGCCATATTTGCAGGTCAGAGGTTGACAAGGATTTTACCTTTAGAAATAAGGATTGAAAAGCTCATAATGGATAAATTAGCAGAAAGTATAGCTGTGTTTGACTGGAAAGATTAATATGGTCTTTCTATATGGAGAGAAGAAGCTTTACATAGGAATGAAGAGCTTATATACACTCTATATTTGATTCTGGCAGTTGCTGCTGTTGTTGTTTGTCTGTTTATAGTGTCTGCTGTTCATGGATGTATTCAAAGATTTAAGAGAATTCAGAGCTATAGAACTGGCTTATAATACTTGGCTAAGTATTAGATGATGCATTTTATTGTTGAAGAGGTTCAAGAAGCTTTATTATTTATCTATTATTTAAAGGTAAGCATTTTGAGAAAAGGAGAAATTAAAAGCAAAAAATTTATTTGTTTGGTTGTTCTGATGGGAGTTGATGCAACAACACTAATAATTTCACAGAAAAATGCCATCTAATAAAAGTTGTTTTTTCCAAAGGACTTGACTAAATAAAATTTTTTTTTTTTTTATTTTTTTTTTAAACAGACCACCCCAATACCCTTTTTCTGTTTTGGAATTACTTTATGTGGCCTCTACTTGCAGAATTCAATAATTGTGCCCTGTTTTTTGAGCTAATTGAAGGTTCGGTAGTTATGATAAACTTAATTCAAGCTTATAGTTACACAGTTTGAGAAGAACTCCGGGAAAGTGATATACGGAAGCAAATCCAGTAGAACGAGCAGAAAGACAATTCTGTATAATACTTATGTCTTATACAAACGCAGGTCCTTGTAGTGGACAGTTAACAGACATTTCAGATAATGAGCCTAACAAGTAGATTCATAACTCATGATATTTTTCATCTTCCTCTACAAATGTACTGCTGTATATTTCAGGCAACACATTTTCGGTCTCCGCTTCTTCAACAGACAGAAAACCAGGTGTCTTCAGCTACCACTCATCAGGGACAGCAGGCTGTAACCGACGTGATCCAGCAGCTCCTTGAGTTGTCAGAACCAGGTCCAGTAGAAAATAATCAGCCTCAGCAGTCTGGTCAGCAACTCAACATTGCAGTGGGTATCAATAGAGACATTTTGCAGGTAGGAGCTGTGTATGACAGCAGCTTTATATTTCAGGGGTTTCTTTCTCATTTGTTTTTATTCTAGTGAAGTTTGTTCTCAGTATTTTCAATGAAAGCATTCCTTCTGCATTTCTAAGTGATTTATATTGGTCAAGAAAGAATTGTAAAGATATACTAGACTGCTACAGAACATGCTATGATATCTTTTTTGGTACAATATAACAAAACCAAGGTTATAAAAATTCATTAAATGATCTAGAAAAATACCATAAATGTTCAGACCCATACATGACCATTTGATTGATTACTTGACTTTTTCTGTTGCCTAGAAGCCTCTTACAACACATTCTTTAGTTATGCCATACTTATGTATGTTGCGTGTAGTTCCAGTAAATTATAATAGGAAATGTTACTTGATAGCTGTTTACAAAATTAGTCTTTGAGGTTGATTCTTGAACTATTGGATAAGCATTTAATCACTAATCATATTAGCTTACAGAACAAAAACAAAATCTGGTTCTCTTCAAAGTAACCAAATATCTGCACATTCATGCTGAAATGTGCGTTTGAAGTAGTTGATCCAGAGCCTTTAAAGATACAAAACAGTATCCTTAATGGTGCCTATACTCGAGTTCCTTCAACGTGACATAAAAAGTGGGACGTTGCTCTTGTGTCAGTCAGTTGGTTATCTGTAACTTATTAACAGAGGCTTTTGAGCTTTTCCAAGCCTTTCTTTGATTTAGTAGTATTCTTTCTTTTATGCTATCTGTGGCTTCTCACCAAGCTGATGGACTTCAAATTTGCCCTTTTATGGGGAACTACTCTTTTATTTAATGGGCATACCAGATATCTTTTATATTCTAGGTAAATGCTTGATTCTGCAGAGACAGCTGGCACTTTTTTGAAAGGTAGTTGTTGGTACTTGTATTGGCACAGGAAATCCAGCCTGAAGTCTTATGAACAGTGTAACTGTCAAAAGTTAGCAATGTGTACCTAACTGAACTTCTGGGAGGGTAAGACGTTTGATAGAATTCCTTTAGTTACATTTGTATTATATCTTCTAAATACTTGTTTGAACAAAGTTGGAATGATTGCAAAATGTTTCTTTCCTGATATAAATGTTTTGTTCTGTTTTAGCAAGCTTTAGAGAACAGTGGGTTGTCTTCAATTCCTGTCTCTGCTCATTCTACTGATTGCGGCCAGGCTAAGACACCTGGGGTCCAGGATCAAAATCCAGATGTCCAGCCTCTCTCAAATCATCAGGCTGACTCTAATAATGCAGAACAAGTTAAGGAGCAAGAGACTACAGATAAACTAGAAAAGAAAGAAAAAAAGGTCATTAAGAAAAAGTCACCGTTTTTACCTGGTAATGTTGCCACTGCTTGCTACTTCTTGTGCTGTACGGACTATAGTGTTTTGTGGGTGTGTTAGTGGCTCTCTTTATAAAGAGATTTTCCAAAACATACAGGGGGTACCAAGTGTGAACTTCCAGAGGCAATAAATCAGTACTTCGTCTACTTTTATCAAAAATATGATGATATATGATGATATATAATGCGTATTAATTATGATCAATATCGTTTATATATTTCATTATACTAAAAAAGTGTCAAAATGTCGTGAAGTAATGTGACAGTATTAAATATTCTGGATCAGTGGAGTTTTGAGGAAAGGAGAAAAAAGGAAGAACACAAATCTTCAACCTTCTCTGAGGAGGATTGGTTTTTCATAGTTTGCCCGAGAGCAGAGAGTTTTTGCAAGCTCTGTAATTAATCTTTGGAGTTGAGGCCACATAGAGGCAAAAGTAGAGTGCTATTTCTTCCTGCCGATCTTTACTGATCTAGGCCGTGTAGAGAAGGATGCACAATTGGCATAGTGGATAATACTTTTGATGTCACTTATGTGTGGAACTGCAGTGGTGATGTGATCATGTGTCATCATAAATATATGTTAGTATTTTACCTCCATACTGTACAGTGTGTATCCAAGCTTGTGTTTTGTCTACGTGCTTTAATGCAACTTTAGTTCAAGGTTGCTAGAAGTTTTTGTTCAAAGTACAGCCATCATAGTTTAATGACTGGCCAGGTGGAGACAAGTCTGTAATGAGCAGTCATTGAGCTCATAGGTAATAACTTCACAGGTACATTCATGTTGCTTTTTTCTCTCCTAGGGAAGCAGAGATTGATCCAAAGTAGAAAACTCATGTTGTGCAGCATAACAGTGCTAAAAATCAACATTAACTTTTTTCCTCTGGTAGTAATAAAACTGCTGCGTGCTGTGTGCAAGTATAGTAACAACTTGCTCTGTTACTGCAAATAAAATGCAAGGTCATCACTGTACAGTCAAAACAGTATCACCATTATTTTCTGGTGAAATAACTTAACCTCTGTTTATTGACATGATTTATTAAAAGAACAACTGTATGAACTGATTTTAATTTAAGGAGCTAATAGCAGATATTGAATAACATGAATAGAAACCTCTGATATGATTTAGAAGCTTCTTTTTCATTTTTGCTGAGCAGAGGGTATGCTGTTGCTTTAGGACAGTGCTTAGGGTTCTTGGATCATAACAACAATTTGTGTGAAGAAGTAGCTTTAAATTGTAAATCTTTCAGAAGGACTTTTTACAGAACTTTTGCTATTTTAAAAATACTACATTTTAATAAATTTGAATGTAAGGTTGTTGTCTGAAGCAAGTGATTTACATTGTAAATCTATGTTCTCTAAAGTGGCATAGGCCATACCAGATTAAAGTGAAACTCCTGCATATCTGTCAAAATCCTCTCCTTCAAATCTTCAGTCCAAATTCAACCTGTACTATTTGTAAATAGGAGCTGTAATTCTCCATTAAAGAATTCAGTTCTTCTGCAGCAGCTGTGCTTGTGGCTTATAGCATGAATTGGATTAGTAATAGAGGTAAAAGCAAAACACAACTTCAAGCCCAACAGGGTCCTTAAATGGAGAACTGGAGAACTGTGTGGGATTCATATCCTTACTGAATTTGGAGAAGAGAGGGCCGTATAAAGTATTCCAACCAGTGAGTTACATAAGTGTTCCGTACTTAAAGTAGTTTGGTGTGGTTATGGTTGAGGAGTTATATTCACTGCTGGATAATTTTTCGTAAGATGTGGTCTTCATAAGTTACCTGGTCTGTTACATTGCATTACACACACAGTCTGTTTTTCTAAGCTGCGTGCAAACTGCGTTCTGCACTTTCTGTTCTTTGATATCGGACACTTCTTAGCCTGTTTTATGTTCTTTTTTTCCCTCCCTCCCTCCCGTTTTAATAGCATAAATATATAAGGTTTTCAACAAGTTTCTCTTAGGTTTTGATTTTGTCATTTCAATCATCACTATTTTTATGAAGTAGAATGTATCTAATAGAGAAGTTAATTGTGTGCAAAGTGTGTTGAGTGGCATCTATTTGGCAAAATGCTTTTATGCTCCTTTTTGTTGCTTTTAGAAGATGGCATTGTGGAACCTTTTGAAAAACTTTTAAAACTTTTCCAGCACGTTCTTCTTTAATGTTATTCCTTATTTCAGGTTCTATACGTGAAGAAAATGGAATAAGATGGCACGTTTGTCCTTATTGCGCTAAAGAATTTAAAAAACCAAGTGATCTAGTGCGTCACATTCGCATTCATACCCATGAAAAGCCGTTCAAGTGTCCCCAGTGTTTCCGCGCCTTTGCAGTCAAGAGTACACTCACAGCACACATAAAAACGCATACTGGGATTAAAGCTTTCAAGTGCCAGTTTTGTATGAAATGCTTTTCCACCTCAGGGAGTTTAAAAGTTCACATTCGTCTACATACGGGTAAGGCCTCAAAATTGCTTTTGTGTTGTACGTGATTTGTGTGAGATCTTGAGGAAAAAAGGGCAATGTGAAACACTTGAATTATAAAGGTTTCTACCACATCATTGATATCTGTCATAGAATAACCTATTTTTAGGGTATTATCTGATAAATTTTAAGTTTTTTTCATAACTTTCTAGTGTTTCATGACTTTGAAACATTGTTTGGGCTCTTACAAAAGATATGGGCATTTAGTTTTCTCATGGTGATTCAACCCTTGTTCCCTTTTTAATATCACTATTGTTAATGTATGGGATTGTGCTGTATAAAAAACCATATTCTTAGAATTTACATTCGAATTTTAATTACTCCCAGTCTTTCATATTTACTCTGCATCTTTTCTTTTTTTTCCCCTTCCCTTCCCTGCAGTCTTGGATAATTTTACTGCATCACTCGGGACTCTTTGGTCACTTTCCATTTTATTTTCTGTGATAACTGGTTGATTAGCGTTGCATCCACTGACCTGTTTTCTGTATCTTACATTGCTTCCATCTCTGTTTATATGGCCTTTGTTTTTACTATTACATAATATACGTAGTCTTCAGTACATTCTGTGGCCAGACTCCTGTCCTCTGCATGGAGGAAAATGAATTTTCCAGTCTTGCTGAACTACAACATCATTTTCTACTATTTTTTCTTTGTTCTTGCTAGTAAATATACTTTCAGCCAGATAAGGTCAGATCTGCACTCTCTCCAAAACAGAATTTCTTACTGAACTCTGCAAAAATGTTTGTAGCGTTTCCCCTGTCTCATTTCCGTGATTCATCTTTCATTCTCGTTTTCTATGTCAATATGGTGACAACACCCAGTTCTCTGTTTAGATACTGTAATGTATATATTGACATTTACTTTCTCCTGTTAAAAGACCGTAATTTTTCTCTGCCTGCTTTCATGGCACCACTTGGTTTGGTGGTTTTGTATGGGCACCATATAGGCTAGCTCCACTAGCCTGTTTGCACCTGAGTATGTCCTAAATATCCTATCATAGTTTCTCCTTTAAGAAGAGCTGCCTGTTGATGTCTTAGTTCTCTGTTTGGCATTGCTTTGGCAAATATCTTCATTTGTAAGTTTTCACAAGTGACATAAAATAAACCGATGTTGCTGGTGTCCATTAGCTTTTAGAGCCAACTGCCTGTATTCTATGAAATAGCAACGTTAGACTTGTCTGCAGAGGATTTTTTCCTTGGTTCTGGAAGTTTAAGCTAGTAAACCAGTCCTTTATCTGTTGCTTTCAAAGGTTTTGAAACTGTTTGTGTTAGAAGTCAGACTCAAAGTGGCAAAAGCAGTAGGTGGCTTGAAAACTAGGTAGGAGGTGGCTTGAAAACTAGGTAGGAGGTGGCTTGAGAACTAGGTAGTCCAATGTTTATGGAACTCCAGCATGTAGTTAGCCAACGTTCAGTACGCTTGCTCTTCCTGTCGGAGAATCATGTTTGCTGCTACCTTGTCCAGCAGGTTAGGCTTGCTAGGTCAAGTTAAAGGTTCATTTAGCCTAACGTGCTCTCTCCGATGGTGACGTAGTAGAGGACTACGGAAGAGTATAATAAGAGGGGAAGCATGCAATAATGCTTCTTACTATTATACAGACCTGGCTTCCACTAATTTTTGGTTTGAGGCCTTTTTGAAGCAGGCAGTATCTCTGTGTTTAGCAGGACTTTGTAGATTTTTGTTTCAAGAATTTGTCTAATTAATTTTGAATCCATGTGAACTCACTACCAGAACAACCTAAAATAATGAATTTTAGTGTTTAACTACATGTGAAGAAATAATTTCTTTTGCTTTAAATAATCTGCCTAACAGTTTCATTTGATGTTCCTTAGTTATTGTATTGTGAAGAACAACAGTTCATCCTTATTCCCTGTGCATTTTCTCCAATCATGATTTTACAGAACTTTTTGTCCTATCCAGTCATCTTTCCTAGCCTTAGGAGTCCAGGATTTCCCTTCAAACAAAAACCATATGTTTGATCAGCTTTGCCCCTCTCTGTAGCTTGACAAGTTCTCTGATATCCTTTTTGAAAAAGGAGGATCTTGTCTATCTATCTACCTTTTGAAAAGAGGAGATTTCCAGAACTGCATGTCCTGTTCAAAATGCTACCAGATTTTGGAGTGCTACAGTTTTTCTTTCTTAATAATTCCTGTTTACATGCTTTTTTGACTGCTACCAAGCACTGAATTGATTTTTTTTTCTTTTTTTCTTAAACCTGTCTAGAATTTCTCTAAACTGTCACATCACTGTTCATCCATTTTTATCCTGTTATTATCTCGTTTGTCTGTGTTTGCTGATTGTTTTTCGTACAGTTCTTAATAGTTTCCTTTGGATGGAGAATTGTCTTCAATTCTTCTGGTAGATTCTGGAACCCTTTTGATAGATTCTGGAACCCTTTAAGCTATCATATTTGCATAATCTATTTTCCTGGTAGCAAGCTTCCTTAAAGTGATGTGTTACAAGCAGAGTTAGAAGTTCAGCCATTGCATGTTCACCTCTGAGTGGATTTTATTGATCTGCTCTTCTGAAAGTATATTTAGCAATAAGACCCTGACAGAGAAAAGAGAAGAAAACAGAGAAAAGGAAACCTCCAGCTGGATACCAAATCTACATTTACATTTCTAGGGAGGTAGAAATAAAGTTATGAATTAATTTTTTTTTAAATCTCTTGCAGGTGTTAGGCCTTTCGCTTGTCCTCACTGTGATAAAAAGTTTAGAACATCAGGCCACAGGAAAACTCATATTGCTTCACATTTTAAGCATACTGAGCTAAGAAAGTTGCGGCATCAACGTAAACCTGCGAAAGTTCGAGTAGGAAAGACCAGCGTTCCAGTACCAGACATTCCTTTGCAAGAACCCATACTCATCACTGATTTAGGTAAATAGTGAGTAAATATGTACTCATTTTACACTTGAAATTTGGGTTTCAATGGAAAATAGAAGTCACAGTTTAATCAAACAAAGGCAATTAGAATTCACTCAGGAAGATACAGTTTGAAATACGTCAGTAGAAATAAACAGGCTTCAGAAAGATCCGTTTTAAAAAAAGAAAAAAAAACCCCTAAAACTCCTCTATCCTTTTGGAATTAATAAGAAGAGATCTTTTTGTTTACAGAGAAATCTTGTAAGATTTGAAAAAATGTATATGTTTTTACATTGCATAAGCAAAAGAATGTCAATTAACTAGTGTTGGATTGTTGGTATAGAAAAGGTGATAACGTCTGGATTTTTTTTGAGCTGATCAAATTTATTGTAATTGCATATATTAATGAGTATGTTAATGCTCAAAGTATGTTGTGTGGTTTTAGTGAATTTGGTTTAGTTGTGAACACAACTGAATTAAAATGATCTTAGTGGTAACATTTCAATAAAGGGCAGAATGATTCTGGAACGTGCAACAGAATTCATACAGAGTCCTTTAATTCTGTGATAGAAAAACTGTTGCATCATTTTGTAAATGCACTCTTTTGGAAGAAGGGTAAGTTGTCTTGCAGGTTAGTGAAGAGAGTGTTACCATATTGCCCACTAGATGTCAGAATATTGGACAAGATGTTTGCTCTTTATTGCTGTTTGACTCGCCAGTCTGCTAACCCCTGCCTTGTCTATTGTGTTGTCATCTTTATACAGTAGAGTACTGTTTTGGTACTGTCTTTATCCTGAATTCTTTGTTAGTCTTTAAAAATCTTTTTACTTTTGTTAGTTTGAAGAATTACTGTATGCAAGAGTAATGGTTGTTTCAAGTCTTATAACTGACACAAAGTTTTAAAAAACTGACGACAAAACATGGCTGACGGCTTCAGATATTCAGAGCACACAATAATTTTGTCCAGAATGAGCCTCAGGAACAGTTGCAGTCCTTTTCCTGCTATTAAAGAAAAAAAAAAAAACTTTTGAATAAAATTGAGATCTCTCTAGTGAAAATACTTTTTTAGTGAAAAAATCAAGTAATATTTGTAAAAAAGAAATACTATAGAAGTGATATTTCTTATAGATCCTTGACAACACCTAAACTCTGCTGGGTTTGGAATGTGCAATGTAGAAATAAGAACGTCCACTATCTCTCTAGAAGGTGGCATGTTTGTCAACCCACTGGTAATATTTCAACTTTTCCTAGAACAATTCTTTTTTCCTTTGAGAGGAGTCAAGGAACTAGTATTGTTTCTCTCTACTCATATTAGTCTTTAAGTGGTACCTTTTAATGGGAAAAACAAAAAAACAAAGATGTAGGTTTAGATTTGATTTGAAAGATTTAAAAGAAAGTGAGTTTGGGGGGGGAGGGGCTTTAAGGCTGTTCTCAAAGAGCTGCCTGTTTAAATGTTTGTTTTATTTCTTATTCTATTAGTTGATGGTATTTGTGGACTAGGAAATACAAAAATGATTGTAATTTTTCTAGCATTTAATATGGTTCCAAAGACAGAAGTGCTGTCAGGAAGAATACCTTAGTAGAATTATCCCACTCAAAATTATTGGACTGAGTTGCTACATCTAGGGTAGAGCTACCTTTAACTGTCCTAAAAATTTGATAAAAAGTTTCATTTATCTGAGTTGAACAGGTTGAATATATCATTTGGATGTGTTTTATATTAGGAGTTGCCATTACTTTTCTAAATATTAATTCAGTGTGATGATTAGAACAGTGCCGGTGTCAGTTTTGATGTGAAATTTTTTTCTTTGTCATGTACGTTACTGTAGGTTTTGTATGTCCAACTCTAAACTGTTTTCCAGATATGCCTGTATATGTTCAGGCTCTCCAAGCGCACTAAAATTTTCATGGATTGAGGATAGATATAGTAGGATAGACTAAGGATAGAACTACTGTTTTGCAGTGTGTCTGCAAACCAGAACCACTGTAAACTGCGATATCCTTACAAATTAGTCTGCTGTTATTCATTCTAAGAGTTCACTGAATTACTCTGTTTTTATAAGATTCAAAAATAACTGAGAGTAGATTTGTCATATGGAGTCCTATTCTAATTTGGAAGACCTATGTCATCTCCTGTAGACTTCTAATTATCATCTCAAAAGAATGCTGGAAGAAATTCGGAAAGCAAGGGTTTTTTTTTTTTTTTTTGGAAGAGGAAATGTTTTTACTAGATCAACTGAGTCAGCTGAGGGAGGTGAAGGAAGTTTTGGTGCGTGTATATGTGTATATAAATGTATATGTACACACTCACATCCTTTTCAAGGCTGAGACAGAGAAATCTGTTCTATGTTTTTGTTGCCATCTCCAGTCAAAGTGGAGAGAACCTGCCTCTCCTTGTCTTCTGTTCTTTCCAATTACATTTGGAAGTTAGTAGTAACCCTTTGTACTTTCTGAACAGAACATGAAACGTAGGATGCTAGATGAAGAGTTCGAAGAATGAAAAGATGGCATAAAAGGCTATTTTGGTGAATATTTAGTAGCATAAAGAGATCTTATGATTCTTAGCAGAAACTTTCTGTCATTCACTCATTCTTGTATGTTAGTACTCTGATCAGTACTTCGGGATTTAAAGATCCGTGAATGATGATGAATCTGTTTACTTGAGAAATCTGCTGCCCTCTCCATTCTCGTCACAGCTTTTGAGATGAGGTGCTTCTGTTGGCGGCTCCAGAGACTCTTAGATTAGCAGTTGGACATTTAGTAGCAGGAACTCTCATCTGCTTTTCCAGAGTTAAATTGACTGATTTGAGGGTACAGTATATAAATGGTATCTGTTCAAAAAAGTTTTTGGTCATGTGTCTATTTGTTTTTTCCTCCTCCTAATAAATTTTTGGAGGTAGCCAGAGAATTAGCAAGACTGACGGGTTTAGTGAAAGTAGATGTTTTCCAAGCATAACAATTTTTAATGGACTTCTTTATATCATGATGATCTGTATTTCTCGTGCAAAATGCAAATTAAACATTCATCAAGCTATTATATATGACTGACGTATATTAATTAAATGTCATTTGGTTAAAACTGAAGTAGTAGCGAAACATTACCTAATGAGCAGTGAATTATTAACTGTCAACTTTTTTTTTTTAATTTAATGCCTATTTTGGACATCTGTGCAGCTTAATGTAATGAGGTGGACTGTAATGAGGAATAAAAAAAAGGAATAACACTAAAGTAGATAGCATGTGCAATATAGCATGTATTTTGCTAAGTAGATGCATGCCTACTTTTAAATAGGTGCTGAAAAGATGCTCAGTTTCTTCTTAATACTATTGCATACTTAAGAGTTTAGTCATTTAAAATACAAATTTTTTTCAAATAATAGCGCTTCAGACTGCTGCAACTTTTAAGTAACTTTACCAATTTTCCTTTTTTTGTGTGTGTTTATATGTGCAGGTCTTATCCAGCCCATCCCAAGGAATAGCCAGTTCTTCCAAAATTATTTTAATAATAATTTTGTGAATGATGCAGACAGACCATACAAATGTTTTTACTGCCATCGAGCCTATAAAAAATCTTGTCATCTTAAACAACACATCAGGTAAAATTAATATACAGGAGGAAGGAAATGTATGCAATAACAAATTTTATGGAAAAGCATGAAACTCAGCATTCATTGAAGAAACCTCGTATTTCTTATTTTACTACCTTTAATTACGGAAGCAGTGATACTAATTTTTCTGGTAAAGTTAGAAGAAATTTTGGACTAACTTGTACACGTGCACAGTCCTAACGGTACAAGTGGTGATGTTTAATGTGCATTGTAGCCTATTAACACTCACGGCATTTTTTCCCCTAAACTCCACATAGAAAAGTGTGTGTAGTGCCTGCAACTTCTTGTAGTAGTTGTGTAGTTGCATACTCCAGATCTGCTTTGTATATAACTGCTCTTATTTGAAAAGGAGATTAAGCTTGTCATTTTGTTTGTTTTCTGCATGCTAAATGTAAAGCAGTTAAGCTGAAGCCATAATCAGAGCAAACGTTGTAGTGCATCATTTTGTTGCTTGAAGCTCAATTCAAGTGCCATATAGTGGATGTTTGTTAAAATCATAAGATCGAAGTCACAGGAGAACTGAGTTTGGAGGGAACCAGTGGAAGTAACTAGTCTAACCTGCTCCTCAAAAGTAAGGCAAGCTTCAGAGTTAGATCAGGTTGCTCAGAGCCTTGTCAAAAGTTTTGGAGGCTGTGAGCTTTGAAATCTAGTCTAGTTATCCAGCATTTCTCCCTGCTTTATGTACTGTGCACAACTGGAAGAGAAAATATGGGAAAATTTCAGGATTACCAGGATTCAAGGAAAGGTTTTGTACAGCTACCTGCTTGTTTCTGCAATCTAAGCTCTGTACCACTTTCTTCCATCTCTAATTCAATTTATAGTGAATATCTGGTGTTTCCCTTGCAGATTGCGTTCTGTCGTTCTGTATTGATAGAAATTCTCAAATGGGCTTGAAGCAGTTTTTGGTTTCTATATGTTGACTAATTGGAGGGGAGGAAGGGCTTGCAATATAATGTTTTGCTTTTTGTCATACCCTGTCTAGATTTTTCACTATTTTTGTAGATAAAATCAAGCTGAACTCACTTAGATCAAAATAATTCTAAAGTAATAAATGTTACTGATTTGCATCATTGCCACCTTCATTGTCCTTGACTTAAATACTTGATTTTAACCTTGTTTTACACTTTTCTCTTTATTTTCTTAGCATAATTTTCACTGGTTAGTTACCATTAAAATGTGAGTTGCAGGAAGAGGGCTTTTTTCATTTATTTTTTATTTTTTAGCCTAAAGAGGATCTTATTTAGCCTATACTTAGGTATTTAGGCTAATTTTAATGCACATTTTCCTAAAACAGTTGTGTCGTTTAGAGTTTTATATAGATTCACAGTTTTTACATCTTTCATTTGTGTTAGAGAAGTGTAGTTGACTGATTTACTAGTTCATTTCACTCTTAGTTGTGATTTTGTCAGGATTCTTTAAATAGAAATTGTAAGTATTTTAATTATGCACAACATGAATTGCATATTAGTTAACTTGTTATGTACTGAATGCTCATGTATTTTTTTGTAAAAATACGTTTTGTGTTTGAAAAATCTGTTCTTTTTTTTTTTCTCCCGTGCTGAAAATACCACAATGTGAGAGGGGTAACCAATCGTTTGTCACTCTGCTTTCTTCTCACAAATCTTTGCAACAAAGTACTCAGTGAAGCTTAGCTTAGCTTTGTTATGACCATAGTAGAGGAATTAGAGAAACGTTTCTCTTTTTCCGTATTATTCTTTCTTCGTAAGCACAGACATTGCTGTACCTAAATTACGAGACTTAAACTTGCGTCGTCAGTCTGCCTTCATGAAACGGTGCTGATCATTGTTTAGAAAGCTTGTGTTCCTCTATAAAACAGGAAAACTTATACTGGGATGCGGTTGACAGAGCAGTGACTGAACAGTATGTCAGATTCTTCTCCCACAGGTGCACCAAGGAAGGGATGGGATACTCTGGTGCTTAATTTCCATAGATATTTGCTGATGATAGAATAGTAATTTAGTATCTATCGTAGACTCTTTGTTATAGTATCTGATGTCGTGGTCATAGACTTCTAAGGCTGTTGTAGTCTTAAGCCATCCCTAGCTTTTCCCAATTCCAAATGCTTATTTTGCTATATTCTACTTCTTTTATCTTCCATTTTCTGAAATTTTCCCTAGCTTCGTTCTCTTTCTCACTCCTGGGATGCTACAGTTAGTTGTAACTCATAAAATTGTAGTTGTACTCTGCAGCCTTTTTCCTAACCCGTCCTACAGTCTATTTTATATTCTAGTGTAGTTCTAAGGGGAAATTCTTCTAATGCCTCCTGAAGAAAGGATTTGGGAAAAGGGGAGATAGAGTGCAGATAGGAGAGTTTTCCTACCTGGATACTGGTTTTCAAGTAGCAATCTAAAGTACTTGTTGTACTAGGTCTTATTCAGGGTATTCAGGATGGGCAGAGTGCTCTCCAAAACCTTTGCCGTTAAACATTAGGTTCTAGAATACTAGGTGCAAATTGAGTGTATTTACATTTAAAACTTACTTGCTAAAAAGTTACAGAAGATACATCACAGAAATGAAAGCCTTTCCTGTTGCTGAATTCAAGTCATTTTTCCAAGCTATAAAGATGTCAGAGGTTTTCCTTAAGAAATTGCCAGAATAGTATTTACTATAAGCAGGGCAGTATATTTTTTTCTGAACTTTTGTGGACATGGATGAATTGTTTTAGCTGAAATTAAGAAAATATATAAATGATAATGTCTCAGTCTAAAGACAGCTGACATTTAAAAAAAAAAAAAAAAAAATCAACCCAAATGGGGTAATTCTGGCAAAGTCTGATCAGAAAAGGAGGTCACACTGCATAACATAATGAAAACTGTCAAACAGCATTAGTAGTCATTCCTTTTAGCCCTAACAATGATGACATGCAAGATGTGCATGTATAATTTATTAAAGCTTTCAATTTCCAGATTTTGTTAATTAAGACATCTTCCATTCATAAAGGAGTTACTTTTGTTTGGTTTATTTTGTACATTCGAAAACTCAATTTTAAAATAATGTTTGGAATCAAATTATTAATCTACTTTAAATTCTGTTTTCTCTTAAAAAGGTCACATACTGGTGAAAAGCCATTTAAGTGCTCTCAGTGTGGAAGAGGTTTTGTGTCAGCCGGAGTGCTGAAAGCACATATTAGAACACACACTGGATTGAAAGCTTTCAAGTGCGTGATATGCAATGGGGCCTTCACTACTGGTGGTAGCCTTAGGCGACATATGGGTATCCATAATGACCTTCGACCATATATGTGTCCATATTGTCAAAAAACGTTCAAAACATCACTAAACTGTAAAAAACACATGAAGACTCATAGGTAAGTATACAATTTTTATTTTAATCCTTTGGCTTTTTTCAGTAGTCCTACCCTGGAAGAAAAAAAAAAGCTGTCTTTCAAAGTATTTTTAAGAACTGTGCTTTGCTCTTTTTATTACTCTGAAACTCCAGGTCAGTTAATTTTGAGCATGTTTATTGGTACATAGCGCTTAAGAGTCTGGCTTGCAAGACGGTTTAAATTGTGTTGGCCATGTCAGGCCATGTTAACAAAAAAAGTTGAATTAGTTATTTTTTCTGTTTGAGAGAACAATTACTTTATTTCCAGCAATACAGTAATTTGTTGAACTTAACTCCATCTAATCATTGTTCTTGAAATCAATTGTTTTTTTTTACTGATGTGTTAGAGATAAACTACAGTGAACAAGTACCTTATCATTTAAATTTATGGGCTTCTGGAAATGGAGATTCCCTGTAGTAAATGTTAATAACTGAACATGGATATTTATGGTTAGGAAGTACTTAGCTAGACCTGATGTATGCTAAATTAAACTGTGTAATAAAAATAAAAATTCTCTTATATGAATAGTTAAAATAGTGTCTAGTTGAAGCCATAGAAAGATCTTTCTTGTTTTGCTTCACAGGTACGAACTTGCACAGCAACTTCAGCAGCATCAGCAAGCTGCTTCCATAGATGATTCTACAGTAGATCAGCAGAGCATTCATGTTTCTACACAGATGCAAGTAGAGATTGAAAGTGATGAGCTGCAGCAGTCAGAAGCTGTTACAACTGATCAGCAAGCTATTTTAGAGTTAGACCAGCAGCCAGTAGTAGGCACAGAAGAAACGGGACTAGAACAGCAATTGACTGATCAGCCTTTACAGCAAGATGAAGGTAAGTATTCAGAACATGGCAACGTTTATAATGAGATATCTAAGTTCACGAGTTCTCAAAGAACTTTTTCTTTACAAATTTCAATGATCTTGATTTCAAGACAATGCAAGTAAGTAACTGGAAAAACACATGGAATAGAAGTTCAATGCTGAACGTACCTATGGCTTCTTTCATTCATTCATGTGTAAGTAAGTGTTAAAATGATGAAAACAGTGCAAAGTTTAAAAAATCCTTTTATTTAACTCCTAAATACATTCTAAATATATGGAAAGTAATGCTACGTCCACAAAGCTTTTCCGCATCACCTCCGTTATTAATAAGTAGACTGTAAAGCACTGTGTCTATATTTCAAGGTAGAGAATACAGAATATTTTATTGATTTATTCTGTTAATAATAGTGGAACGAAGTGTTTTCCTTTTGTTTATTTGGTCTTTTTCATGTTATAATTAGTAAGCATTGCAGAGGAATATAAACAAAGCTTGCAGCAAGCAAGGATTTAAAATATGCAGGATTACCTGTTAAGCTAATTGTTTTTAAATTTATTTTTAATGTAATGCAAATTCAGGTGACTATAAAATGTAATTCTTTGGGAATAACTATGAATTATCCAGTTAATTACATCTTTTTTTCTTGATTATTATTTTTTTTTCCTTCCCCACCCCTCCTCTGCCACCACCACCTCTTTCAGATAGGTTTGTGACGTCCCAGCATGCTTTACAGGAAAACATCACTCAATTTGAACAACAAGGTATAACACAGCAGTCATTTGATCAACAAGGTTTATCACAAGGTTAGTAGTTAATAAAAGTTTTAAAGTGATCTTTATAAATTTCATTCTAAAGCAGTGTTGTTATAAAGCATTTTTAAACTGCGCTTGCAGAAGTGGTATAACTAGAATGGAAAGTGAACTTGTGAAGACTTTATCTTAAAAATTACTATTATGAAATTGTATCTGGTAGAAGAGTAGTTTGTCTACTTAATTATTAGATTTTGCTTTTATAGGCTGATATTTAGTCATTACAATATGGGGTTTATAGTCAGGCGTTTTATATTCTTCTCTTAATTCTTTTTGAAATTGCTGTAGTAGTATGCAGTCCAACTTCCCCCGAAATATAACTGCATAATATCCTGAGATAATCAGAGACAGTCCAAGATTTGACTGAGTAGCTGTTGGGATTCATACTTTTACCGAACCACATCAGTTTTTTATATATTTTACAAAGCTACATAAGCAACATGATATTATAAATATTTGGAAACTTTTTTTTTTCATTTGGCCTATAAAATACTCAGAAATATTTGGAAAGGATGCTTATGTGGCTTGGAGAGGAAGCGAAGAAACGACTGCTGTTCCCTGCAGGATTCGTTTAAGTTTTTTACTTGATAGAAAGCTATGTGTGGTGTGTGTGCTTTTTTTTTTTTTCTTTTCCATTTATTCTTCTCGCCCCCCTCTCTCTCTTGTCATCACTGACCAGTTAGTTGTCTCCTCCTTGTTTCATATTCCAGCAAAGAAGTTTTGTATCTTTATAGCTAGTATTCAGTAGTTGTAATTCTATCCTGTTGTTGACTGAACTTCTCTCTGCTTTCTGTTTTGGTTATTGCCTTTTGTAAAAATGTAATTGACTGTGCTAATTTGCATGATACTGTGAAGAAATAGTGTAATTTGTTGCTGATTTTAACCTTCTAGGTTGTGCTGCTTTGTATCTAACTGAGAAAAGAAATCAATGTCTCAATTTTTATTAAACAAGACTGAACCAGATCGCCATTTAAAACACTGTGGATTACGTTCATTGATTACCTTTTACAGTTTTCCAAATGAATGAGAATACACTGCAGAAAAAAGTGCAATCTTGTACTCTGGGTAGAGATGGTGGTGATGTTTTTTATGGCTGTTCTCAAATTGAAAAACCAGTGTGCAACCTTTGTTTTGTTATCTTGTTTAGATTTCAGTTTCTTTGCATGTGCATCTTCTCGTTAACAAAATAATGAATACTAAGTGCTTTCTTCAGGGATAATAAAGACTCCTGTAGATCTTAGAGAAACAGTTCTTAACAGTGTCAGAGAAATTTAGGCTGTTCATCAACACATTATAAAATTGGTACGGAGAACTAGAACTTTTTTCCTATGAGACTTTTTTTTTTTTGTATGAGACTTCTCCTATTCTACTTGGAATCTCATCCACAGATTCCCAACTCTTTGAAGTTTCCTTGAAGATCCTGGAGCCCTTCAAAATTTTTGAATTTCAGGTAGGTAAGCATATGCGCGGATGCATGCGTTAAATTGGTCGACCCTCTCCCTATGTCTGCATCTGTGCTTCATGCTCCTAATTTCTTTTTCTTGGCAGCTAGGCAGGACATCCAAGACCCAGATATTGTATCTTTTTTTTCCTCGATACTTGTAGGCTATATTCTTACTAAAATATTTTGGCTCAGCATTTAGCTTCATTAATAAAAAAACACTGGAGGGTGTGGTTTTGTTTTGTTTTAAGAAAAAAAAAATTGTATCATTTTAGGCAAAAGATGCTAATTTCTAGTTCTGCACAGACCCGTCAAAACTTTACGTGTTTGTTTGATCAAGTTTGGCAGTAATATTTTTAGCAGAATTTCTATTTTATTTGGATAGATTTTCCTTTTGGTATGCTTCAAATTTGCAAAGAAGTATGGATCTCATGAGGGTGCTACTGTATCATAATCTATCCTTCATTTTAGCTAGTTTTGAAGACATTTAGAGAAAAGGCACTTCAATGTTCTTGATAGTTTTACATATCCGTGCCTCTTCATTTGGTGACCTTTTAATGAAGTCGGAACAACTAAATGGATTTTTTAATCAGAAAATGACTTTGGTTTATTTGGTTTATCTATCATTAAGCATATTTTCTTATAGATTATGTCACCATTTTTTCCTTTAAAATCTCCCTGTAGACATGATTGGATGTTGATAATTGAAATAGTGAGGTGGGAGTGATCTTGAAAACCTACAGGAATTTCAAATGCTATATAGTTCGGTAACCCATACGAATATATCCTTGCCACCAGACTGCTCTTTTGCTTTCTTATGAAGTTGATTTGCAATCTCAGGACTTGGAATTCTGATTCTTTCGGTAACTGTTTACGCATTGATTCTAGTGATTACTGTTGAGCTGGTTCCAAACATTCTCTGGGAAGCAAACCTACAGAACATGTAATTGTTAATCTCTGGATTGTTTGGAAAATGGAAACTTCAGGCTGTGACTAAAAACCAAAATACTGTACTTTCTGTGAACTACCATACTGTTGGTTTATGATTCTTACATACAAGACAACTCGGCTAGTGACTGATTCCAGAGTCTTCTACTCTTTTCAGTAAATTATGTCACTGTAGAAGAGAATAGCTTGAGTGATTTCCTCAGGTCAAGAAAAAACAAGCCTTGCAAATGAGTACTTACATTGAAGTAATTCAAAAGCTCAACCCAAGTTTAGAGGACTTTCTAGTAAAAGACCTCACCTACTACACCGACCTTAGGATGTTTTCTGTTCTTTGCCTAGCTGAAGAAATTTAAGTAAAAGTTTCTAGGAAACAGTCTACAGGGGTGGAAGAACAAGACCAGGAACTGAAGGATCTGAATTTTATTTCTGTCTGCTTTTCAGACTGAATTTCTGTTTTTTCAATGCTGTTCTGTCAAAATAGGATGGTGCTGGCAAATGCCTTTAGCATATTCAGACGCATCAGATATGTTTAAAGTTTTGAGTGGAATTTGAGCTTCATACTAGGTAGTGAGCAGAATAAGGATGCATCGTATATTTTCTTGTTACAGCTTTGGTTTGTTTTTATTCCAGAACTGCTTTCAGAAGTAGTATTTCATTCTTCACTTTGCCCCAAAACGTCTCTAAACTTAGAACTTTTTTTCTTGAGCACTTTGTTCCAGGATTGTTCCTGGAAGATTTTTCAGGACTTCAGTAATTGCTATTGCTAAAACAGTGTGTAGTGAAGCAGGTATAGTAACCTTTCTTTTCTTCTTAGCTAGTGAAAAAGGTACCACATAAAAATATTTTTATTTTTTTATATAGCCTTTTCTTTATACATTTAACAGTTATTTCCATTCTTGTATGCAGACTATGGAAGTGATGTCACTTTTACTTCTCAGATCCTTGGGGCCTAGGTTTATTTTGGTGTTCTTACCAAATGTAGCTTGCGTATCTTTTTTTTTCTATAGCACTGCTTTTGAATTTTATTTGAAAATAGTAATTAGCAGTCTTCTTGTCACTGTACAGCTTTGTGTGGCTGTTCTTCAGGCTACTTTTTTATTTTGTTATTCCACTAAGACAACAATTGAGGTGCAAGGTTCACATTTTTGGCCATCATGGAAAGCTAAGACCAGTTTAAATGTTTTTGTGTGTGTGTGACTAAATCACACGATCATCTAAATTCTACCTTACTGATTCTTTTTTTTCTTTTTCTTTTTCCATGTAATCTTGTTAGTTCTGGGGAAGAAGCTAATACACAAGCTGCTATGCTAGATTTTATGATAAGGTATAACCTGACTAATAATGCTTTCAGGGTTTTTTACGTTTATTATTTGATTCTGTGATGTGAGAGGTAGCATATGAGCAATGTTTTTCTATATTGATAGCGGTATTCTTCTGCTGTAAAAAGTATCTTTTGGGAAAATTTCTGCCTAAAGCACATCCCAGTGTTTGATATATTATTATTCAAAACATTCTTAAAGCATTACTTTTTGACCTTTGATGCTATGGTCATCTGATACAGGTTTATTTCCACCCTATTTTCATAATCTTCATCTTTGTTGTCCATTAAAGGCAAACTGCACAGAAATAATAAAATTGCTGCTCCTATCTTAGTTACTGATAGTTATGGTTTCATTTTTTTCCACATAACATTGATTTTTTTTTTTTTATATTAGAAGTATTAGGGGTTAGACGGGTTTGTAAAAGAGCATCTCTAATAACATAGAGACAACTGTAATCTGAATTATATTTTCCTGTCTCTCAATCAGCAATATCGTCACTTCATTCATTCTTTTAGAAAAAGAGATAATTAGGATCTGATATTTTACAAGAATAAAAGCGAACACAAATTTCAGTTTTTATGGTGAGAATATGAATAAACACATTTTTATTTTTACTTTGCAGTTTGCCTTTGAGAGGCCTTACTTTGCTATTATCTAAAGAGTGGGAATATGTGGAGGAGATCCAAAGTAGGAGAAAATGGGGTTACTTTATCAGAAACTGGAGTTCTCCTATTGGGTCATCTCCTCCACTCACCCGCCATCCTCCCCACTGAGCTTTGCATCCTTGTGATCGGCTTCCAGTGTAGTTGAGGGAGCGTGGTACCAACGTGGATAAAGGGAGATGGGTCAACCTGTTTGACACATGCATGCTTACATACAAGAAATTCAAAATTTCAATGGCTCTAAGGTAATTGTGGCATCTTGAAGAAACTTCAAACAGTGTTGTTCTGTGGAGGAGATTGTCCAATAGAATTCCAGCTAATGGTAAGTAACCCTATTATGCATATTATGTAGTTGCCAAGAAACACTTTTTGTATTTTGCCACTCAGCAGAGAAGAGTATAAAATGAGTATTACTGTACTGTAATACTACTTAATCTCCTTTGAAGATAGTCTTCCAAAAAGTGTGGCGTTATTCAAAGTCCTAATCTGAATATTTTCTGGAGTTGTGACCATCTTTCATTTTTGGCAGGTTTTACTGTGAACGACAGCTACAATCAGCAGACTCAATTTCCGGCTGTACAGCAGCTGCAGGATTCAAGCACACTTGAATCTCAGGCCCTTTCAACGAGTTACCATCCTCCAGCCCTTCTTCAAGTTCCAAATACAGATACTATTAATGTAGTAAGTACTGCTGGAAGGCAGAATCCGTTGTTCTGTGTTCAGTGATGATTTTCTTGTGAACACAGGTGATTAAGAGAGCTCTAAGAAATCAGGAAAGTTTCAGATTTCTTTCCTAGATTGCTTTTGCTTAACAACCGAAAACAAGGGAGGGAAGACTAAATAAGTTGACCTGGCTACATGTTTCTAAAAACTGTACGCTTTGAAGCTCTAGATTTAAGAAAGGATGTAATGGTATGAAGAGAAACTGTAAACCAGAAACTTAGAGTAGACCTAATCTTATAAAATAATCTTATTTTATTGCACTGTCTTATTTCCTAATTCTTTAATTCTAGACACGTGCTCTATGGGTATAGGTATGATCAAGCAGTAAAAATAGCACTGCAGATACATAATGACCGTTCATGGAGCTTGCATATTGCAGTGCATGGTGTTCTTTCATGGTACTAATCTGGTTAGACTTTTAAGAGTTTGGTTGCTAAAAATACAGTTTAAATTCCACTTTTTATATCTTAACTGTACCTAGCGTGAAGACCATCTGTGGTAGTGTGAGACTTTATCATGGTGAGCTGCACAAATTATACCCCTTTCGTGCTTTTCTGCAAGGGGTAAATGTTAATCAGAGACGTGAACTGGGTTTTAGGATCCTGGAAGGGTTTGAGTAATTTCAGTGTACAGTCTACAGTCTTTGGAGTTTTCTTCTCTTCGAATCTTAGAACATGCCGTCCTTCTGGAGTATTATTCTGTAGTTGTTGCTTAAATAAAAGATTGTTGAAAAAGTATTGAAAAATGTTGGCACCGCTCTGTATCTTGCTGCTGGATGCAGGGATCATACTGTTTAGAAAGGCTTCTTTAGTGTTAAATCTGACATCTCAAATGTTAGATCTGAGCGAACTGAGATACATCTCCCTATGAATGTAGAAAAATATGAATGTACCACCTTCTCTGTATATTCACATGCAGTAGCTGCTCTTTTTGATGCTTTCTTTCCGTTTTGGAAGATGGAGAGAGATTGTACCACACTTGACTTCTTGTCATTAATTTATGAAAGAATAGATTGCTAGTATAATTTTTATTATTTAACTGTAAGTGCTCTAAATTTTTCTTGCTTATGTGTGTGACTTTATTTCAGTGTTGTGTTACTGAAATTTATTTGAAGCTTCTTTGATTTCCAGACTACTCGCTTGATACAAGATCAGTCATCACAAGAAGAACTTGAATTGCATACCCAACGGCCTCATTTCCTTGAGGATAATGAAGATCAAAGCAGACGTTCATATAGGTCTGCTATACTTAATTTCTAGGTTCTGTCACAAAATTTCCTGAATATTTTGTGGTTTTCGCGTATATGCAAGCAATGACAATAATTTTCTTTTAATAGGTGTGAATATTGCAACAAGGGTTTCAAGAAATCCAGCCATTTGAAACAACATGTACGATCGCATACTGGTGAGAAGCCTTATAAATGCCAACTTTGTGGCCGTGGCTTTGTTTCCTCAGGAGTTCTTAAATCACATGAGAAGACTCATACAGGTAACAGAATATACCAGCTCTATGTTTACTTAACTCAGATCTGGGTATTGTAAATGTCCTGTCTAAGTAAACTTGGACAAACTGTGTGCTACTCTGTTGTTTCTGTTACTTTAAGGAGTTAAAGCATTCAGCTGTAGCATTTGCAATACGTCCTTCACAACTAATGGCAGCCTTACCAGGCACATGGCAACTCACATGAGCATGAAGCCTTATAAGTGCCCGTTCTGTGATGAAAGCTTTCGAACAACTGTTCACTGCAAAAAACATATGAAAAAACATCAGGCAGTCTCCTCAGCTGTAGCAGCAGCTACAGAAACAGGAGGGGGAGGTAAATTATTTTATTTTTATTCTTAACTGTCAGTACTACGTAACAAGTAAAAATGTTTCAGTGAATTACATGAATGCTGTAACAGTAACGCTATAAATTGTCCTTTCAGTATGGATAACGCCTAATGTCTAGAGCTATTGCAACTCCTACTTCATATAAATTGTTGAAAGAAATCGGTTCTCTGGGAGTTTTTCCAGTGTATTAAAAGTAACATTAACAGTCTGTTTCTCTCGTGTAGTTATTTGTGCTGCTAAAGTAGAGTATATGGGTTTTTTGCCCCAAGTTACTGATAGCTGTGTCTAATTTATGGTAAGAACAATTACAAATCCAGCATTTTTTTTTTGAAGATATGCAAACATGCATGGTTATATCTTTGAAATAGATTTAACTCCAAGCACATCATGCAGTGACCATATATTTAATAGTAAACCCTACTATTTTTATAATTTAAGCTTGCAGATTAAACTAAACAGCTTTTTGGTGGGGTTTTTTTTTTTTTTTTGTAGTTACATGTGTTGAAGATGATGATGAAAACTCTGAAAGAACTTCCAGAAAATCGCGGCCTGGTGTCATTACTTTTACAGAAGAAGAAACAGCAGAACTGGCAAAAATTAGACCTCGAGAAAGTGCTACCGTTTCAGAAAAAGTTCTTGTCCAGTCTGCTGCGGAAAAAGATAGAATTAGTGAGATCAAGGATAAGCAAGCAGAACTGGAAGCAGAGCCTAAATATGCTAACTGTTGCAGTTACTGCCCGAAAAGCTTTAAAAAACCCAGTGATTTAGTCAGGTAAGGAACAGAAAAATTTTCTGTTAATTTCTTAAGTTCTTCACCAGACACTTAGCAGTAACAGTTTCATATAACCTTTTTATGCCTAAACTATAATTTGACTAGTATTTATATGCGTTTTTCACTTTACAAATGGTTTAAAAATATGTATCAGAGAAAATGTATAGTCTGCACTTGACTAAAACAGCTTTTTTTGTTTCTTGTTTCCTGCTTTGCTAGAATAATTATTGCAAAGTTTTATCATAAATTAGTTATTCCTTGGAGTAAGATATGCATATAAAAACATGAAAAATCAGTTTGAAAAGTAGTAAATTCTGAAATCCTTGCCTTTACTAGTTCTGCTTAGTGTAGTGTAAGTATAAGTGTTCTGCTAATTCTAAAATTAGTAAAAATGCACAATAATTTGTTCTAGAGACTGAGATATTTTGCGTAGAGGTAGAAATTAACATACTCCTGTTTTCTGGAATTATAGGCATGTTCGTATCCATACTGGAGAGAAGCCGTATAAATGCGAAGAGTGTGGGAAGAGTTTCACTGTAAAGTCTACTCTAGATTGTCATGTTAAAACACACACAGGTAAGTAAGATTTTGGATGTCTGTGTTCAGAGCACAGTTACTTTCTTAACAGGCTTTTTTAGCTGAAGTTTTTACAAGGAATGATGTGTTTCACTATTACCTGGGAAATGGCAATGCTAGATGAAATTTGGTGCTCACGACATTGTTCAATGAATTGTATTATGGAATTTTGAATACACCATATTACAACAACATTCTCTATCAGTAGTCTTACAAAGTGGCTGTAGTCTCAGCACATGGAAAAAGTATGTATGTATCTATAATATTTTAATTTCAAATAATCTGCAAAATTGCAAGGCTAAATGATCTCCCTGAGCAAGAAGGGGGGAGTTTAAGGAATTTATAAAATTAAATTTAAGAGATAATAAAAGTTTTGAGTCTGTATTATTAAATAGTTTGAAAAATAAGAGTACAAAAATTCTGAACAGTTTGGTCTTTTAGTCCTACAAGTTGAATATAAATCAACTTCTGAATTTTAGGTTGTTACAGTAATTTTTTTGTATTGCTGTGAGAGAGATTTTAATTAGTTTTAATTAGTATTAGTGTTTTTAATTAGTATTATTTTTCAACTCCAATTTTGTATAATTTCAAGAAAGCTCTCTGATTATCATTTTATAATTGTTTTTTCTTACTGTTGAACTTCTGTAAGAAAATCGTGAATTCATTAATTTCTAAAGCTGGCTGCAGTTTTGGTAAAGTGAATAAAATGTTTTTTTAAAAAAAAGCTGAAAAAGACATCTTAGAGTGCCATAACATATAATTATTTTGCTCATGGAAGTTCCCTTTCCACTTCCAAGTATACAATGATATTTCTAGCACTGTTGTTGCGTAAGTACTACTGTTCTGTTTTGTTAGGTCAGATCTCTGTCTAGTCTAGTATCTTGGATAGTAGCAGATAATTGGGGAAATAAAAAGACTAAAGTAGGTATTCAGTCATGTTCCTACAGCTGCTAACAGTTTGCAGCTTGTGGGACTTGGTGCCTAGAGGTGGTATCTTTTTGCTTAATACCTTTAATGGACTATTTTTACATGAGTTTAATCATTTTCTGAACTCATCCAAACTGGTGGCCTCTAGTACATTCTGTGGTAATAAGTTCCTCGATTTGAATTTTGTATTCGGTGTGCCATCTGATGGTTTTATTTTTATATCCTGTAGTTTTTGTGTATGAGGAGTAAGGAGAAACTGTTTCCTTTTTTTTTTTTTTTCCCTGTGTCCAAGGTTTTTATGATTTTATAGACTTCTACTTAGTGTAAAGCAGAATTTTGCAAGTGAGTGTTTTAATATCCTCAACAGATTTTTCCAACCAGTTGTTCATCATCTTCTCCATATGTTTATGACAATGTTGACAAGCTCAGGTCCTCACAGGTACTTAGAGAACTCCCCTAGCAACTTTCAGCCTTGTGAAAATTGCCTATTTATTCCTTCCTACTGTTTCCTGTAATATAACTATTTTTCTTTAATCCAGGAAAGGACTCTGTCTTTGATCATGTGGCAGGAGTTTTTCTAAGGCCTGTTCATATAGAAGCTACTTAAAGTTCTGAGAATACAGCCAGGTACACTCTTGTCTATGAGAATCTGGTCTCCTTCAAAGAGCTTTTGTAGATTTATCAAGTGTAACTTTTACTACAAAAACCCCATTAACTCTCCCCATTACAACTCACTTGATCTTGTGCTTTTTGATACCATTTTCTGTTATAAGTTTACCAGCGTACCTCAGATTGTGTAATTGGTGCATAGTTTCTGCATTTGAGCCTGGATTCCTTTTCAGAGGGCTGTTTTAGGCTGTGGGAAACATCTACAGCTCATCAATTTTCTGTTGAGTCATATTTGTTTTGTTTTTTTTTTTCTTTCCCTCTTTTAATATGATTGTCTTAAATTCACCTAATAACAGTTCAATTTGAAAAGCTCCTCTAACCCCCGCCCCGATAAAAGAAAGTTGCCTTTATGGGCACTTACAGACTTCATCTATAAAGAGCATTGATGCACAGAATTAATTCTAGTTTTGTACTGTAGCTTTACTTTTAAGTGCTTCTATAGTATCATCACCTTTCAAACCAGCGGACTGTTTTTTTGTGTGTTAGGAGAAAAAAAAAAAAATCTATAGGTTTTTGCACCATTAACACTGGACACGTTTTGGCTTACTGTATTACAGCTTAAACTTAGCTTTCCAGAAAGTACTCTCTTCTCTTCAGCTGGACTTCTGAAATACGTCTGTTTCTTGTTACTTCCTTTTTACTGTCTTAGGCTATTTTTTTAAAAGATCAAAATCTTTTAATATGCAAGATGTGTTGTTTTTTGTTTGTTTTTTCTGAACATCTAGCATGGTATCTGTTAACAATTGGCATGCTGTCTGCAGTTATTTACTGTTTGGGTGATGTTTTTAATTTCTTTAAAGAAGCATTATTTTCTCTGTGTTTCCTTTCAGAAATCAACTGTTGCTCTAATGGGCATTTTAGACTTCCAGATTTCTAAATAACCTTGTAGTATGATCACTTTTACACAGAAACTTTCTGCAATAATAATTAAAACTAGGTCTTACATACAGTTGAAGATTTAATTTGATTTTGTGAGTTCTTTGACTAAACTTACTTCCTGTATCTCATCCTGACATATCACATACTATATATGTAGATAACTGCAGTCACATGTTACTATGTTTCTGCCTTCATTGTTTTCTAATTCCTGTAGTATATAATAGTCTTTGTTAATTTTTTATCTGGGTAGCTGCTGGTATGGTGTAATCTTATAGATGGAGTAAACTCACTTAATTTTTCTTTGTTAGGAAGCAATGCCGCTTCTCTGGCATTTGTCATTGTTTTTTTTTTTATTATTCCTGTACAATTTTGCATCCGAGGCTGTGACAGTCTTTCCTCCAAGTTCCATTGTGTCCAGTACGTGCCTGCCTTTACCTAGTTTAACATTCTAGTTCATCCATCTCTTTTTTTTCCTTTTCTTCTTTTTCTCTATTCAGATTTCTACTATTTATACAAAAGCACACGTCAGATCTTGAACTGATGAAATATTTTAATGTCTGCTTAAATAGGCTTTCAGATGTTGAGCTAGCTCCTCGTTATTTTCTACTTCAATTTTGTTAACTTCTTTTGAAGTTAACTTTTTTTGAAGCTACAGACTTGTAAAGCTTCACTCTTATGACAATCCTGAATTTTATACCTTGTTCTGTGTCGGCTTTAGTTTGTAAACACCTACACTAGCTTTTTAATATAGGCCAGCCAAGAGCCTGATTCTGTTTTGGTTTAGACAGAGCTTTCTCTTGAACAGGATATCATCTATTCCGAAAGTCTTTCGCAGATCCTAGCTACGTTTGAATTCCTCTTTCCTGTATATTTTTTCTCAGCTACGCATTAAACTATGCCTTTATTCCTGACTGTATCACTGGAAACGTTTCTGTGGATGCTGCTTAGGATGTTTACCAACTCACCTAATTGTATATTTTGCCTCCAGCGCACGTTACGTCCACACATTCATTTTTTTTGATCTGAGATCCCCATCCTAAAAAGCATTTTCTCCCTTTGAAGAAATACATAATTGTGTTGAGAAAGTCAGCTCTTGAGCTTGTTCTTCTATACGTGGCTTTTCTCTGTTTTAGTAGTATTAATGCTGGTAGATGGAGGGGTACAGTGCACTGACCTGTCACTCAGATTCCGACATTTTTCTTGAAGCTCTTCTAAATTAAGCCATTTCTTTCCTCAAGACTACCTTACCACCATTGATACTTCCCTAAGGACTAAAGTTTACTTGTATACATGGTAACACAGAACCTGTCTCCTGCATAGGTAATGATATATATGAGTCTTAGTGAAGTAAAATGAGAAAGCCATGCGGTTTTGGGGGACCTTTATTTGCTTTCCTAGGCCTTTAGAGAAGAAAAAATATTTCATATTTTGTGGTGGCTTTTTTTTGGTGGGGAAGAGAAAGAGTTCCATGAAGAAAACCATCTTGTAATGTGGTAGACACCCTTGCGGCAGCCAGCTCTCCTTTGTCTCCTTGGTTAATGGTGTTCTCAGGCTCTTTGTGTTCCCTTATTTGCTGAAGTAGAACATTGCCAGACACTTGCTTAGTTTTCTTGAACAAAAAGTGCCATCAATATTTGTCTTTTAATCTGAATCTGTGATTTGAAATAGGCTGAACTGTAATTCAGGAACTTGATGAGAGAGTCTTCTGTGTGAGTGAAAGCCAGAACTTGATAGCAGAAATTACAGGCACAACTTGTTTTTGTGACCTGAGAATCAATTATAAATAACTAACATCACCAGAACCCGGTTGTATGTTTTGCTCTGGGTGTTGAGTCCACTTTACTTAACTGTTGATCTAAAGGTTTACCAAGTAAAATGGTTAATGTAGTCACTCACTCTTAGCTTATCACAGCTATAGAGAAGTCAAGATTTTATTCTTGTGTGGTAAGCTAGCTGTCCAAAATATGTTGATTTCTCTCCCTTTTTAACTAGGAAGCACTATGATACTGAAAGGCTTGGGAATTTCAGAAGTTACTGTGAGTACCTGAGCATACTGAGAGTGTTAAGGATGTAGATCTTTATAGATTGGTCTATAGAGGAGCCTTACATAGGTGAAGGCTGTAACAGAAGAGTAAAATTGTTTGAATTAAAAAAGTGAGTGGCTAAGCAAGGGGAGCCAAATTCTGAAGAAATGAAACTTTAAGGAATCTCCAATTTTATGAACAGCGTAGTTGAAAGAACCTGGTTAGTGAGGAAGGAGGGAGATGATGAGAAGAAGGATACAAGCATCAAGGTGATCAAATAAGGTTCTGAATGACAGTTTAGAACAGCACAGTCGGAACGAACTACTGAGGTTTAAAAGTCGGAGGGAGGGGGGAAGATATCCTTCACAGAGATTATTGATTCATTTAAAAAGCAACCAAAATTATAAAGAAAAATGCTTATTATTTCAAATTTATTCTGTTCAAATTAGCTTGGAATCCATAATTACTTAAATTGTTTTACAGTGCCATTGATTTTTTTTTTTTAGGGGTTTTATCATTTTTATTTCTCTTTTAAATTTTTCTAGGCCAGAAGCTCTTCAGTTGTCATGTATGCAGTAATTCTTTTTCTACCAAAGGGAGTCTAAAAGTACACATGCGCTTGCATACAGGAGCAAAGCCGTTTAAATGTCCACACTGTGATTTACGGTTTCGTACTTCAGGGCGCAGAAAAACCCACATACAGTGTCATTATAAACCAGAGACAAAGAAAGTTAGGAAGCCTGTCACACGTACTTCCGCTGAGGGATTACAACCAGTCAGTCTTCTTAATTCATCCTCAACAGACCCTAATGTTTTCATCATGAACAATTCTGTTTTGACAAGTCAATTTGATCAAAATTTGCTTCAACAAGGACTTGTGGGCCAGGCCATCCTACCTGCTTCCGTGTCAGGTAAAAATGAATGACCTTTTGCTGTTGTTGTAGAGATCGAATACTGAACTTTGCTTTCTGTTAGGGTTCATAAATTTATGCCAAACACTGCTAGTTAGCAGGTAAGAGTTTTGCTGAATTCATGATTTGATGCGTGGTGACACCAGTAAAAATTCACTTATTTTTAGAAGGAAGGGACCAATGTGTGCTAGCCACAGGTAAACAAAAAAATCTCTTCAGTTCAGCTGTGGTATTACACTGCAGAAAGGAAGAAAATACAGATAACAAGTGGCTGGAGTACTTCTACTTTTTTAGTTAGACCCTGTTGTCTTTCCTTGAAAAGGAGTGAGAAGCAAAATGGTTACTCTGTAAGCCTTCCATTTCAAAAGACTTATTTTGTACTAACGCATTAGATTATAAAGCAAATAAAGGTTTGTCTACACTATTTATTTGCATAATTAATATGAAGAGCAGATTTTAAATGTACATGCTTAGTTAAACAGATATTTTCCTGTAGTTCAGAGTAGAAACTGAAAAAATAAATGCACTTGAGGTTGCCATTGTGAGCATATATGTTAATTAAATTCCAAGAGCCTAAGCCTACAGCTGTATTGGCATATTGAATGTGCTGTACACCATTCTCTGACTGTTAGGCTGACTGGCACCAAGTAGCCAGCATCCATGCAATAAGCTCTGTTAATGTTGCAAGTAATTAGTCGTTTGAAAATGGTCCTTGCTAAATTCTAAATTGCTTTGGGAGTTGTGTGAATGTTAGTTAGCCTTAGGCAAAGTTGAAACAGGGAATGGTTTAAGAGTAGATAGAGTTTAGGTATTTGGAAATGTTCCCTGCTACTACTTAATGTATAGATCTTTTGTGATAAATTTGTGATAAACACCATCAGGGTTTTGCTTGGAGTTCTGAGTGAACCGGATAAGGAGGCTCTAGCATGTTTAGGTGTCCTAAAAAGCAGCAGGAAACTTTTTAAATCAAGATTTGTGACTTGCGTTTTGCCCAGAGCAGATATTTCTGTTGGATGCGTTGTAAAGCAAATTTATTGTGATAAAGGATTATAGAGAGGGAAAGCAAGATGTTTCTGAAGCATCGACTAAAGGAGATTAGTTGATTGCACTAAAGGTGTTTGGAGAAGATGCATCAAAGACAAGATGATGTTTTCCTTGCATTCACTGAATAACTTTTTTGGGAAGGTTTGTACAGCTTTTGACATTAGGAGCTTCTAAGCTCTAAAGATTTTGAATTTCAAATGCTAATTTACTTCCCCTGCCCCGTGAGTACATAGAACAACCTTTGATTCCTTCTCGAACAATATTTCTGTACTACGCATAAATGTTGCAATAACCTTCTTGGTCCTGTATATGTATGTTCAGGATCATAGCCTGTTTTGTGTAAGTGCTTCTCGTATTTAGGGGCAGTACACTCTCCAAGAAAGCCTGTTCCAAATTTCTGCAGGTTTCCAAAGCTACTCTGGAGCAGTTTTTATTTTAGGAGATGCTAGTTAGTGCTTAAATAATAACTACTCCTAAACTACCTGGAATTTATGAAATTTTAAAATGGACAATCAATTGCTTCAGATTACTTTCTTCTTCTTAAATAAATGTATATATGTAACATTGGTTTTGTTTATAAAAATAAGCAAGCTAAAAGAGGAGGCCACTAATGATAAAGAAAAACATTATAATGTGACTGTTTTCTTTGGTAGCTGGAGGTGACTTAACTGTGTCCTTGACAGATGGTAGCTTGGCCACTCTTGAAGGAATACAGTTACAACTTGCTGCTAATCTGGTTGGACAAAATGTTCAAATTTCTGGAATAGATGCCACCAGTATTAACAACATAACGTTACAGGTAGGTGTTCTCTATTTCTTGCTTTTAACTTTATAGAGCCGACTTGAGGGCTGAAAGAAGCTTAACAAACATAAATACTTCTGGAAGAGTTCCCTTGATTTGTGTGTGCTATGCAGCAACACCATATTATATCAGTTTGTACTATGTTAGAAGAATTAGGCAATAGCTGCACAGTGTTTTCTTCTGGTTTGGTTTCTTTCTCTTTGGTTTTCATGATTTCTGATGACCTCATGGAGATTTTAGGCAGTTTGCTTTAAAATTTGTATTTTTTTCTTGTAATTTGCTTTTAAAATGAAAAGACCAAAGGCTTTTGCTGTAAATCCTTCCTCCTCACACTCCAGAACACCTCAAATTATTGTGGAGAATGTTCTCCTCCATAATGTAAAATGCCTCCGTTATTTGTCAGGTTTTGCATTTTTAGATTCGACTTTTATGTTCTCATTGAGCTGATAAAAATGGGCAATAGAAATACCTTATAGAAAAAGGTGAGATAAGTATAAATTTTGAAATTTAATTAAAATGATATGAAAAAATGGATTTGATGAACTGGTTTGTGTTTTATCAGTTTCACTGAATCATTTAGGTTGGAGGAGACCTCTGAGGTCACGTGGTCCAACCGCAAGCTCAGAAGAATCATCATCAAATTTGCATTAGACTGCTCGGAGCCCGAGTATTCAATAAGATTTAAGCCTAAACCAAATAAAGTTGTACTTTAGCTTTATCTTCCCTCTACTCACAAAGCGGTCATCCCTAAAAAGTATAATGTCTATTTATAAATAGTGAGAACAGATGTGTGAATGTGAAATGGAAATCTGTGTAGGGCCTTTAGGACTCACATGGGAGCTGAAAAAAATAGGTAATTTCTAATACCAGTCTTCACTTCTGCTCTGTGCCCTTTCACTTTCAAAGAAAGACCTGAAAACAGTGATTAGCCTTACATGCAGCAGTGAGACAGTATAGGATGCCAGGTTTGTGGATACGTGATGCTACAGATAACGTCTCAGTGGCCAGCATGCTTAATGTAACTGATCACAATTTCCCAAACGTGTTGTTGATCTTGCACTTGTAGGTTGAAGAGAGGGGAGAAATATATACCTGAAACTGAATAGACTGTTTATGTATAGACTTTATAGACTCTCTATATACAGAGACTTAAAAAATTAAATTTAAATTTATAAAATTTAAATTATATAGACTTTATATACAAACTGTTCATTTGGCTCATATTGGTAATTTCAGATTGATAGATTGAAAACTTGCTTTTCAGATTGATCCAAGTATTCTACAGCAGACATTACAACAGAGTAATTTACTTGCTCAGCAGCTAACTGGGGATCCCAGTATGGGTGCACAGAATTCTTCCCTGCAGACAACAGAAAATGCAGTGCCAGCTAATGTGGTTATTCAGCCTATATCAGGCCTATCTTTACAGCCTACAGTAACATCTTCAGCTAATATGACAATAGGATCCCTATCTGAGCAAGAGCCTGTGCTGACAACCAACACTAGTGGTAAGTAGCATCTCTAGTTGTGTTACGCTTTGAGTTGCTTATGATTAATTGAGATATTACCGATAGTAATTTATATCTTAAAACTTTTATTTGATAAATACATTGGCAATAAATCTGTTGCTGATTTAAGTTTGATAAAAGGTAGAAGTTAACAAAGAGAATTTTGGTTGTTCAGTATACCTAATAGAACCTAAATAGATTCAAGCTTTAGGATTATAAGTAATGTCTGAAAAAAGTCAACCTTTGTCTCATAGACAAGCTCAAGATTTTGAAATTCTGTTTAAACGGAGATGCAGTTCCTCATTTTTTTTATTCAGAAATACCTCATTTAATAAAATAAGCATATACTTTTTGTAACAGCATATTTGACATATTTTACAACTTCATTATCTTAACCATAATTGCAATAAAGTTGTTTTTTCAGAAGGTGGAGTATATGATGCAAATATTGAAGAATATTTGTAGTCATTAGAAACATAAAATCTTTGTTCTAAAGATCTTAGCCTGTAGAGGAATAAATTTGATATGGAAACAATTTCTTATTGTTAGATTTTAAGCTCAAGCATCTTTTTTAGCTACACTTTTCTTAGTGGTTCAGAAAAATATAGTAGTAGTTGTTTTTAAAAGCTGTATTTATTTTAAAGAAAGGGTCTTCGTGTAATGATGTAATTTTTTTTTGTTCTACCCATTTACATTTAGGTGCACAGGACATCTCTCAAGTCATGACCTCACAGGGTGTGGTGTCCTCTTCAAATGGACAGCATGAGATAACACTGACCATAAATAATTCCAGTTTGAGTCAAGTTCTAGCTCATGCTACAGGTTCTACTACTACAAGCTCATCAGGAAGTCCTCAAGAAATCACTCTTACGATATCAGGTTGTTATTTTTAATGATCTTTAATACTACCAGCTCTCCAGTTTATAAGCTTGTCATACAGTAGCATTTGAGGATGTTTCCACTGCCCTCAGCTTTCCTTCAGTGTATTTTCAAATTTATCAGCCTTAAAAGATAAGAGTACCCAAATTTCTGCTTTTGAAAGCTGACTGTATTTGCTTTGAGGACGCATGTTAGGTTGGTTCCCTATTTTATTCATAGCCTTGATTGAACAGATATTTTGCTCAGTGGCAAAGCCAGTATAAGCAGTTCCTACTTCTTTGCTATATGTTCATTTGGGATAGTGCAATTCATGGATAATGCTGAGATGGGTACAAGTAGATCAGGGTAGGTGTTGGGGCTGAATCTGCTTAGTCTGCGTTTGCTTAAATGCCTGTGAAACCGTTATTCTAATACATGTTCTAATCATTCTTTGGGGGTGTATTATTCAGTATTTATAATTTGCAGTTAGTACTTTAGGTTTCTTTGACTAAATTGAGACCGACTTTTCTACTCTTTCTAGGAGACTGATATGTAGTATGAATAGCCTTCCACTTCCCTTGAAGATGTTATAATCTACCTCATTATTTCCTTAATAGATCCAGTAGTATATTTAGTGTTTGTCTTTCTATTCCTTTTATGTAAAGAGGCTTTTGTTGAGATCTCTCACAAGGGGCTACTGAAAACTGACTGGTCATTCAATAAGAGGCAATGAAATGTCTTGCAACAAAAAAGCAAGGTAAAATACTGGAGTAAAACCAGCAGAGATTAAATATTCAGGTTTTGTCCTTTCTTCTGTTTTCCCTAAAAGTGTTAATGGTGATAGATACATTAATGATAAGAAAGGAGCATCTAAGTGGTGGAGTTAATCAGATTTGCAAATAAGATGAGACAAATCCTGAGAAGACTGTGAGATACTGTAGAAGCGCTTAATCACACTTCACGAGTGGGCGACAAAACAGTTGGTGGAAGTTGTACAGAAAATTAAAAGTGAATTAGTTTGGTATAGAGAAAGTTGTATGCTTCTGATGTTTAAATTTGGTTTCGTTATAGGAAAGAAGTGATAAGCATGATGGACAGCTTGGTACTACCTTAGAAGAAGTTATATTAAAAAGTAAACAGTGTTTGAATGCATGAAGAGATGAAGCTGAATAAGAAGGAAAAATAAGATTGTGTTTATAAGCCAAGATTTCCCAACTTTGGCAGCTCCTGAGTTTAGATCTGGGTAGTAGGACTCCCCAGCATCATTCCTGTAACAGTAGCCTTCTGTGTCTCTCCCTGCATCTTAAAGTTATGAGCTGCCAAGTATGGTCACTTCTGCTTGAGGCAGAGGGGCTGCTGCAGCCTGATTTGGCTGAGAGCTCTATGAGCAGGCAGAGTTTGGTTGCTTCGTATGAAAAAAAAATAGTGCACTGAATGATGGAATCGAAGTACTGAAAGAAGAAGAAACAGGGTGAGAGTGCATACTGGAAGTGTAGAGCTGCTCTAGAACTTAAGATAATCCAGGGAAAGATTTTTTGATCTATGCTTCAGGATTCACCTTTCCAATTTTTAAAAATAATAGAAAGGTGAATAATAGACAGATATGTTGCACTGACCCATTGCCAGTAGCCCATAGCATTGTAGTGGCTCTTTCTAGATGTTGCACAAAGAGCACACGCTCTCCAATTAGGCCAAAATATTCAGAAATTTAAAAAAAAAGGGGGAAGGAAGAAGCTGTTGTGGAGAAAATGTTTCACTTTTTCAGCATAAAGGTGATGAAACTACAATCACCTTTCCTCTGCTATTTATTGTTTGGGTTCAAAACTGTATAAATCTTAAAAACTGTAAGTATCTGCTGTAATACAAAGAAATTCTACATAGAAATATCAACTCCAAATCTGAATTCATTGTTTCTTGGAGGTTTCTTAACTTCAGTACTTTCAACTTATTTTCAATATAAAACTCTGAAACTCTTTCACCAGGTACCTAATTTGACTAGCTTGCTTATGTTACATGCTGGAAACTTTATTGCAACATGCTTAGTGTTTTTAAATGTGATAACAGCAACGTTCGGGTTAAGATGTCAAGGTCCCTTACCTGTGTTTCTCTAGACGAGCTTGGGTATGCATATTCTCTCATCCAAAGAAAATGGAATAGAGCTGTCCAACAAGATTAAATCTGCTTTCATTTTCTGTATGTTCTATATCTGTTGACTATTCCACAGAATTCACCATGTGAAGTGTTGCTTTTCCAAAAGAAGACACATTCAATGCAACCCATTATCTGTATAGTAGATATAAAAACTAGACGTAAAATATAAAAAAATGCATTTTAACCATTAACCTTTAGTTCATTAGATTTTATAGTTCCATGAAGTCGATGCCTTCAATCTAACTAACTGAGATCAATATTTGTCTAAATATTAAGTGTAAGCTTTTATCTATGCATTAGTGTCTAAATATTCATAATTACATCTGTATTAAAAACTTGTCTGTCCTTTCCATAAAAGTCTGCATGTACAGAAACCAATTTTTTATTTTGATTACATTTGCTACTTTTATCATTTGTTTATTCTGCTGCAGTACTTAGAAATATAACGTTGAGACTTTTCCAGATATAAAGAGGACTAATTTCTTTTTAGGCCAAGATCTTATTCAGCATAATTCTGGAAGTAGTGATCTGAATGGCAGCTTAAGGCTGACAGCCCCAGCAATCAACAGTCAGACTACAGGTGCTACGTTAACTATAAGCAATGACCAGCTTCTTTCTCAGGGCACTTCACTAAACACTCCAGGTATGCATACAGTGATTATTCTAAGAAAAATAATTACATTTTGTCAAAAAGTAGATGTCAAGTCCACTAACTAAATAAGGAGTGGTATAATCTGGGGCATTATGATTATGGTACTAAATGGCTTTATATTTTTTCTCACTGGCCTTAAACTCTCTTTTGCATAGTTTAAATGTTCTTTTAGAACAGGCTAAGAAAAGAGTAAAAAGGAGAACGCATGTCTACAGCTAGAACTTTGAGGCTTTATAGGAATATTGTAGGACTATTTCTGTAAATTGCAGGGTTAGAAAATCTGGTCTGTTGCAGATGGATACTTTTTTATATCAAATTTCCTCTAGTACTGAAGTCATATGAGATTACATCTCATATATATTTCTATGTGTATATATAAGTGCAGCAATGTTTACACTAATATTTTGATCTGTTGGTCTATTCACGATTTGTTAACTAAATCATTTTCTTCACCGTTTTTTAGTGAATATGCTTACTTATTTCTTTATCTTCCTTTTCCCTTTGTTTCCTTTTCTAGCTGCCTTTAGTGCATATATACATTTGTAAAGCAAATCAGCTTCAGTGTGAGACTTGAAAGATACCTACTCCAGAATATTCAGTAGAATTTGGAGGTTAAGACATGCTCTTGCTTAATGAATTAGCAAATGAAGTAGTCTAAATAAACAGTTCTGGGTTGTACTTTCTAATGAGAGCCTCTACTCACAGGTTGTAGAATCTTAACTATTATAAAATACCTGTGGTGTGTATGTACATATATATACAATTTTTCCCTCTAGTATAGATTATCAGCCATTTTTAAGGGGGTAAGGGCTGCTGTGTTTTCAAAATCTGTTTTTAATACCTTAAAACCCATTTTATTAATGGGCTATGGGACATTTTATTGAGAATTGTGAAAGCAATCAGACTATGTAACACGTAACTTGAAATTTCTTCAGATATTCTTTTGGCAATGAATCATACCACACATACCATCTTACAAAGCTGTGACTTTGCAATATGTTATCTATTAAGCTACATTAGGAAGAGAGTAATTTTTCTCATCTGACTTCTCTCGTGATTTTGATAGATTTTTAGCTGTTGAATTATTTATTTGCTACCAAATCGTAAAGCTGTAGCAAAAAAAAGAAATGATTAAGCTCAATTAAGGTCTGCAGTGAGAGTTTATGTATATAACAGATTTGTATTTTATTTTTTTTAATATTCTGCATATTTTCCAGAACTTAATACAACAGGTGGAACAAACCTTCCTTCAACACCGCCCATATCTCAGTCCACAGTTGCTGCCCCAAATTTAGTAATGTCTCCATCAGGAGTTGGAGGAGATGGTAGTGTGACCTTGACTCTTGCTGACACTCAGGGAATGTTGTCCGGTGGTCTTGATGCAGTTACACTTAATATTACTTCACAGGTCAGTCTGTTTATGACAAAGGAATGCTCTTCTGAACTGACAGATAAACTAAAATTGCTGTCTTAGAGGGCAGGAATTTGAGATTTTGGTTAGGAAGTAGTTTGTCCTGTAAATACATAACATTTGAAAATTCAGTAACTTTTCCTTCTTTCTACCAACAGAGTGAGCATACTGGCATCTAGGAAAATAAACTATTTAAATGGAACTGCGATTAAATGTTGCAGTTTTTTGCATTGAATGTGGTAGTTCTACCATCTCAAAAAAACTGTCAGTTTTCATGATGAACTGCTTGTATGTATTGCTAATACAATTAAGTCTTTAAAAAAAGAAAGCTTAATTAATTCAAGACCCTTTCAAAAATACTGGAGATAATTTCTTCTCACTGTAGTTTTCATGATTTTCCTTTGTTAAGTGAAAAGGGAGGCTAGCAGTGAATGCTTGTTGTGAGTACTCTTGGTTCACTTCTTACCTAAATCACAGAGCTTCTAGATTTTACTTTCTCGAGGACTGGAACAAATTATATAGTGAAAATTATTTTAGAAATGTTAGTAGCGAATCTATCATGTGTTCAGATGGGGTGATTGAGGGATAAATAATGAGAGAGAGAGGAAAAAAAAAAAAGCTAACTGTTGCCAATCAATTATTTACTTCAATATGTACTTTAATATTTTATGTATTTTTTTTTTCTTCTGGTTAAACTGTGGTTCTGCCTTTCATTCAATACTGCTGTGAGTGACAGAGGAAAACAAAGTGGTATATGAATCATTACTTTATGAATTTTCTTACTGGGCAAAGTTGTAAAGGCCAGTTTCTCTTTCCTCAGTTTTCTAAAGATTTGGACTTCGATCATATAGTCCTGTGTTGAAGGGCAGTTAAAAACAATTTTAATTGATCCGAGGCGAATGAGTAAATCTGTGATGGTAGGCACATTATGGAGACCTTGATATAGAACCTTCCTT